TAGCTGCATTTCCATAATTGTAATTAATTCTTTTTCAGGTTCCGGTTTTATCTTTTGGCCTCTGTCCCTCTTTCCTTTTAGACTTCAGTGTCAACAGGGACTTGACTGCTGTTGGGAGGCTGTCGTGCCAATTCACTCTTGCTCATATTCTCTGAATTGTACTCTTTCATTCAGAGCAATGGACTAATTCAATTAGGCATGTCTGGGGCTTTTCCATTATAATACCATGTTTATTACCTGTAACTAAACCTGTAATCTGTAACTGCTGCACCTCAGATGCAAGCTGGCCAGGTAAAAATATCTCTTTGCATCTCATTGTTTAAAAAACAGGCTCATCTCTCTCCCAGTCCTGAAGACCCCAGGGAATTCAGGGGTCCAGAGACATATGCTATACAGCGTGACATATGCTATAAAGCTTGAATATTTGGTGTTAATTTACTTTCAGTTGTAGTGCTTCAACATAGGATGCCTGTGTGGACCTATAAATGAGGATGCTTCAACTCTGTGACTATTTGGAGGATTTCAGACAACCTGTTTGTTAGAAACTTGGAAGAAACATCCATGTCTCATGCCAGCACTGCGGATCTGAACTGTCAGAGCACAGAGTGCCTGTATGTATATGAATGTCAAAGAGCCTCCTTTGGAAGGTGGCAGTGAAGACTTCTGCTCCAGTGTGGGAGCAGGCCATTAGCTGAAGCAATGAGAAGCTGGAGGATGAAGCACACCAGCTGTGCTGATGGGAAGATAGCACTTTGCTCGTGTGATGCAGTACTTGGTGACAATGCCAACCTGAGAGCCCTGTAGCATGGGGAATGTGTGTGTACTGTTAGGTAGGACCTAACCTGGTGCAGTTCTGTTCAGCTCTATTATTGGCTGAACAGGTTTATTGGATTGAGAACTGGCTGGCTGGCAAAGGAGATGGGAGAGCTCAGAGGGTGGTGATCAGTGGCACCGAGTCCAGTTGGAGGCCTGTAGTTCATGGTGTCCCCCAGCAGTCAGGACTCAGTCCAGTCCTGTTCAATTCATTCATCAACGACCTGGATGAAGGGACAGACTTGTCCCCTCAGCAAGTTTGATGATGATATCAACCTGGGAGGAGCAGCTGATAGCCCTGAGGGCTGCACTGCCATCCAGAGGAACCTGAACAGACTGGAGAGTTGGGCAGAGAGGAACCTCATGAAGTTCAGCAAGTGCAGGGTCCTGCACTTGGGGAGGAATAACCCCGGACACCAGTAGAGATTAGGGGTGGACCTGCTGGAGAGCAGCCCTGCAGAGAGGGACCTGGGCGTCGTGGTGGATGACACGGTGACCATGAGGCAGGAGTGTGCCCTGATGGCCAAGAAGGCCAACCGGATCCTGGGGTGCATTAAGAAGAGCATCTCCAGCAGGTGGAGGGAGATGATCGTACCCCTCTACACAGCCCTGGTAAGGCCACATCTGGAGACTGTGTCCAGTTCTGGGCTCCCCAGGACAAGAGGGATGTGGAGCTGCTGGAGAGAGTCCAGCGCAGGGCTACGAGGATAATCAGGAGTCTGGAACATTTGTCCTGTGAGGAAAGACTGAGAGCTGGACCTCTTCAGTCTGAGGAAGAGAAGACTGAGAAGGGATCTGATCAGTGTCTATAAATACTTCAAGGGAGGGAGGAGGATGGGGCAGCCTCTTTTCAGTGTGGCCACTGATAGGACTAGGGGACATGGTTACAAACTGAAGCACCAAAAGTTCCACAGGAACGTGAGGAGAAATTTCTTGACAGTGAGGGTGACAGAGCTCTGGAACAGGCTGCCCAGAGAGGTTGTGGAGTCTTCTTCTCTGGAGATCTTCAAAACTTGCTTGAATGCCACCCTGTGCCACGTGCTCTAGGTGACCCTGCGAGTACAGGGAGGCTGGACTAGATATCTTTATAGGTCTCTTACAACCCTAAGGATTCTATGATTCTATAATTAAAGGAAGGGGAACTTGGAAGTGTGCAGAGAAGAGGACTACAGAGCTGGTGAGGAGGCTGGAGTACTGTGAAAGAAGAGATGAGTCCTAAGGGGGATGTGACTGCTCTCTATAAATGCCCTTGTGAGACAGCAGAAGGCTTCTTGCAACTGATAGGAAAGGCAGGCACAAGAATAAATTGATATAATCTGCCCATATGGAGTTATATGGGTATATAAATAGGCACAAGAAAGCTAACTTGCCTTGGGACACTGTTAAAGCATCCTGCCTGTACTCTTTCTTAGTGTATTACTCCTAATTGTATCTGCAGCTTTGGAACCATGTGGACGTAAGGGTGGAAGACAACCTAAGCAATCCCAAGTCAGATTTTCTACCGTGAATAGCAGAATATTCCTGTTCCATTCAGCAAAAGGCTGCTGAACTCGCTCAGCTCGGGCTGCTTTCTACCACATCCTAATGATGCTTCGAGATGTGTATGTGGTTAAGCAAGAACAAGTATTGATACACACCGTGTGTGTTCCCGTAGGGGTTTAACAGGCTGTAAGTAATGACTGAACATTTGTGTGTGCTATATCCACCCAAATTGCCTAAGGATCTCTCATCATTCCCTAATTTTATTAGGAAAAGCTGCTAATAGTTGCATTTGCAGAATATTAACATTCTTATCTACTTATGTCTGAAATTTCTGGTTACAGAAGTGGAGGTTGCTGCTGTGTCTTGTACTCTAGGGAGTCTTATCTGCCTAGAAGCAAAAATGTCAGTTTTCCTCAGTAACAGCAAGATACAGTACTGTGTGCACACAGAGAATAACAAATTGAAGCTAGAGCTGGGTTTAAGCTATTTTAGCAGTTTCTCTAGAGCAGCTAAGCAATTGCAATGTTCAGAATAGCCTTCAGGACTTGATGAACCTACTTTCTTTTTCTTCCTGCTTCAAACAGTGCCAAAATACAAAGTACATAATCCTTCTAGGCTTGAAAGATTTTATGTTATTTTATTTTCCCCAGGGTTTTCATGCTATAGAAGTGGATTCCATTTGGTTTGTTTACTGGCAATAACAATGTGGGAAGGGCTGTGTTTTCAGACCAAGCATCCATCTGCTTTATCTGCTTTGTTAGCAGAGGTTTGGGGCTGAAAGTATGCAGGGGGGGAAAGGTGGGAACATAGCAATAACTCTCTCCCAGCATCTGCCAGTCAGTAACTTAAGTGCTTCTCCAACCAGAAGTTGCATCCAGATCACTGAATTAACTTTCCATCTGATCAGGGTGTATGCTTTTATTTATTTATTATTCCTTTTTATTTATGCTTTTGACCATATGTGGGAATTGGCTTCACAAGTTATTTGCATTTGCTGTAAGCTGCCCGCTTGAGACTGTTATTTGCTGTTGCTGTTTATTATATAGACAAAAAAGAGACTTAGGACAGTTTTCTTATTTGCTTGTTCATATTTAATAGGTAACTCTTCCACCTTTTCTTCATACTTTTGCAATATTATACTGATTTTTTTTCCCCCTCTATTCTGCTTTTTCTTAACATCTTTCACTGTCATTGAAAATAACTAAGGATGTGCCTGATAAGGCTGTACTTATTGATAAATTCTGGTTTCTGAATTTCCTGAGGAGGGCAAATCAGGTCCCCCTTGACATTTTTTGCAAAATTACTAGCTCTGTGTGTGTGTGTGTGTGTGTGTGTACACACATGCACACAGTGCTGGTGGGGATGCTTGAGGCAGGGCAGTGAATTTTTTTAATTGAAAATATGGATAGAAAGCTTGCAGTAGCTGGAAGAAGCAAAAGCTTTTTCTGAATTCCTTGACACCATGGTAGAACATCAGTGCTAAGGAACGCTGGCATCCTCAGCTGAAAGTGTTGCTAGCCCAAAAGTTGAATTTACCTAAGAATGATCTTGCAGTGGTTTTGCTTGTTTTGTAACTTAGTTTTGCAGTTGTTGGATATTGTCAGCACTTCTAGCGTGCTGCAGTGTAGCATGACATGTTGACTGTAGAAAGCCTTTCTGTTTGTGTTAGCAGTAGCTGATAAGTAGCGATCTCTCAAAATGACAAAAAAGTGCGTCAACTTCACTTGGAGTTTGTCTCCCTTCTAAGTTGTGTGAGCCTGTAAAACTGCTTCCCTCCCCCTAGCTACACTGTCTATCATATAGCTTTGCCTCCTTGCATGCACTGGACAAATTCCACCCTTGATTGGGATGCTGTGACTGTGTTGCAGAGATGGGATTGCAGCTGGGGATCCTCCGGGGCACTCATGTTCAGGCCACTGTGTAAAAGCCAGTGGAGCAGTGAAACAACTGGAAAATGCAGTAGATGAGAGACGTGGAGCGTTATGGATGGAGCCCACTTGGTTCCTGCAGTGCTGGCCAGCACCGAGTCCCCTGGGGCTCCATCCTAACTAGTGCAATTTATATAACTGGGTACTTGCGCCCCTCCTGCCGTGCTGACCAACTGCAGGGGCATGGACTTGGCTTAAATAAGCACAGAATTTAGCCAGCAGCGTAGTAAATTTTATAGCTACTTAGTGCTCAGTATCACAGGACACTGCTTGCTCTTAAAAAATCTAGTGTTTGGTGGCATACAGACTAAACCCTTTGCATCCTTTGCACTCTAATTGGCCTCATTCTGCAGAGCATGAAAACTTGCTGTTTCCATTGAAGTTAGAATGAGAAAGGGACCGGAGGAGGTGAGGTGACCGGTGAGCTCCGAGTCACAGAAGCACCACAGCCTTTCAGCGATGGAGTACTTTGAGTGTGTGAGAAGCAAGTTCAACTCTGAACGTGTTCCCCAAGTCTCGTGTTAGCGGAAGAAGCGGGTGCAGTTCCCAGACGCTCTCCTTCCACTCCGCAGAGCCCTGTGGCTGCAGATGCTGGCGGTGGCTCTGGAGCGAGGCTGTTTCCTTTGTCTCTTCTGCATTCAGCCCGCGTCGCTCACCCCTTCTCTGACTGGAATATGGTAATGGGGTCCTGAGGGGCTGCCCGAGGTGTGAGGAGGGTTTCCCTGTGCTCCCGAGCGTGGGTTCTTCCCAGGCGTTAGCTCTTGCTGCCCCGAGTGCTTTGATCGCTTCGCTCTGCATGCGTGTCTCATACCCGGAGCAGTCGCTGCTCCTGCATTCCCACAACAGCAGCAGCACTGAACAGATGCTTCCAGGGTTTCTCTCGCGCTGTGCGTTTCAGTTCTGAAGAAAGTTGTCTAGCATTATCTCTGGATTTGTATTTTTCTCTCCGCTTTTTATGGATCACAGAGATCTCATCATTCCTCGCAAAGAATACTGCTGGCAATGTTCTCCTGTACCTCTAAGGATTGCTTTCGAAATGTTTTATCTCTGGAGACATGAAGATTAAACTGAGACTTCTCTGCGCTGAGAATTTCCATTGTTCTTGCCAATAATGCATAATAGTCACAAATTTAATGGCAGACCTTGAAGTATATAAAAATTTAAGTCCAGAAAAAGGTAAGGAATGTTTGGGTTTAGAATTATTGTAGGAATAATGCACACGTTTCTTGAATGCTTATATAAAAATCAGATATACCTTATTTCATGATTGGTAAGTTGCTTCTCGTGGCATTATTAATATGGAAAAAAAAATGTGTATGCTTCTATACTACTGAAAAGAAAAACTTGGTATTTGGTACCAAGTACATTTCTCCATGAAAACAGGTGGATTTGTATATCACATATTGATACTGTGTAATAGGCAAACTGTATGTGTGTTGTTTTACAAGTATCTTTGCTTTTAGAAATACTTCTGATCTCTTCATTTTCAGGTCAATTTGCCCTGCATACATTTTTCCATGGAAAAGGGTTTCTGTTTTTCCAGTAGCGCTTAAATAATGTAACATATATGCAAATAATGTGTAAAGTTCTGATCAAACCACACTGAATGAGAAGGAGTCTTACCAAATAGAAGGATACAAAAGGAAGACAGCTTGAATAACTTCAGTATTTTCTGACTTACAGTCTCTGATTTTCCACTCATCATTGACTTTAATTGAACAAAGTAATTATTAGTTTAAGCCTGCAAATGAGCATAGAGTAAATGCTATAGAGAGAAGGGGGAAATCATGTGTTAAATTATTTTGTATTATGCATGTCATCAATAATGGTGCTAGGCTATGTATTTCTAAAGAAAAGCTTAGAAGACACAGACAAGCCAGCTCTTTGCAAAATATCTGAATTGAATAGTTCGGGAGACACTTTCTAACAGTATTATTATTCCTATAATTTTCAGAAAGAAAAGTAAAATAACCTGATCTAAAATAAAGCCACCAAAAATCATATGGCTCATCCCTTGAAGTATCCTTCTGCTCCTTCTAAGAGGCATGATTAAAAAATTAAGGGAATGAATGGGGGTTGATATACTCGTTCTTTGTATTTAGCATGGATGATTTTATTTCATACATGTATATTTTTGACAGACTTTTTTTTTTTTTTTTTTTTTTTTTAATAACAGCAGTCTGGATTTTTCAGGGATGTTCCCTAAGTAAACAACAGTAGGAATTACTTTCATATCCTCTCCGAAAGGGTTTTAGGTTGAGGAGTTAGTATGCTGCAGTTGCAACCCCCCTGTTTGCGTTTCTGGGCTTTCTGTGGAGCTCAGCTCTACATTAAGTTTTGATGCATGTGGCTGGCTAGAGGAGACCAGTTGTTACCCCATCTGTTTTCTGAGAAAGGGAAGGTAACAGATATGTCCCCATTTAATAATTTACATGAGCAAGCTTTTTAGAAGGGGTATTTTTTCCAATAGTCTTGACAGAAAAGCATCGTGTTTTATTGGTTTATTCTTCTATAACTCTTGTAAATGTATGTGCATGTATAGATAAACACATTTCATACCAAAGTATTCAGTTGCAGGTGAAGTTCTGTTTCAGGTAGCTGCTTAGTTGCATTTCCTTAGCCGAATAAAATAGCAACAGGGCAAGTAGGAGGGAGCGTTGGGACTTTGTTTAGCTTTGTCACCATGAGGGCTGAAGGCGCTTGTAGTTAGGAAAAGGAGCTCTCCTAGTCCATACTTTGCGAGCAGGTGCCGGGCTCACGTCGGTGCCCCGCGGGAGCAGCCAGCAGCTCTCGCAGCCCTCAGGCTGCCGCTCACCCTGGCACATGGGGAGCGTGCTCGGGTTTAAGGATACAAGGGTGTACAAAGGTGGAGCAGCTGGATGGGCCTTATCTTTGTAAATTGGCCCAGGTCTTTGGAAGACAAATGATGCTGCTTGTTATTTTATCCTGCCTTCTTAGCAGGGCTCTACAGTTGCAGCCAGTACACTTAAGTAGAGAAAAAGCAGGTAATTACATTATATTTTATTTACAGGGAGCATCTCAGGAGTCTTTGCTAAGACTGTAATTAGTGGTTTTTTGGGGCCTCTGGAGTCTTTAAATCTATTCAGACACCTATAAAACAAGTATTAAATGTAGTCCATAACATAGTAAAGGATATATGCTAGGCTGAACCTCAGAAGTTGAGGAACATGCAGGGAAGATGAATGCTGGAAAAAAAGCTGACCTTGCAAGGGGAGAATGTGTGTTATTTTCTACATTACATTTTGAAGTAGTTATGTAAGAAGTTTACGTCTTAGAGGACAATCCAGTCCATGAAGGCATATGTTTGTACTGATTGTACTGATTTGTTGACAGAACTTAGATTTGTGAGACATTTTTTACTCCAAGTGGTGAAAAAAAACAGCTATAGACTCAATAGTTAATGTAAGGTTTGGGAAATAAGCTGGTACATTTTAGGGACTTTGTTACATATCACTGAAATATTAACTAATGTGAAAACTTAAATACACATGCAGAAATAGTATTTTGTTTGCATTTATGCATTTATTTTGGTGTTTGAGATTGTCAGTTCATTGTCAACAAATGACTGTCAGCGAATTGCACTGGGGCAGTCTGTGAACAGCAGAATAAACGTCACCCAACTGGCTGTTCCTGTGGTGTGTGAATACACAGGTTCCTGTAAGTAATTGATTGAATGATAGACTTCATGGATTTCTTTTAAAGGTTAATTAACTCTGCCTTGTGCTCAACTGCTTTCCCCTCCAACTCTAAGCAAGCCCCAGGTGTGGATTTACGTGGCAGCCGACCGTGGACTCGGTGCCCCTCGCAGCTGCCATAGCCCAGCGCGACAAGTGCTGTGCAGGCCCTGAGAAGTAGGTCCCTTTTCCTCTGCTGTTTCCCTCGGTTTATCAAGCAGCTCCAGCTGCTCTCGTGCCCTCTGGCTTATTCTTCTCACCAGTGTTCAATGCTGTAAAGGTGCCAGGATTGTCCTGATACATTGCTGTTGTTCTGATGAATTGGCACACAGCGGAATCCCACGGTTTATATTGGAGCTGGATCATTTTCTTCATCTACACGTGTCCTGTATAGGCACGAGGGCAAACTCTGCAGTGTATTCTGGTGGGGTTTTTCTGTTCTTGTTTTCATTTTCGTTGATGATTAAGATTCGTGTAGTATACTCAAGAAGTCAGGTAGGACCCAGCAAGGTATGTTGCTGGTGGAGTTGTGTTTCAGTGAAATACAGGATGGTGTGTGCATAGAAAACTGAGGAACTGACATGACATTTAATGCTTTACTTCAGGGAGGCAGGCTTGAAACAAGACATGGTTGGTTCTCACACTTAAGATGCTCCTTCATGCATTTGTCTTTAGAGGAGAGGCATGGGATTCTGGAGGAGGAAGAGGCTTGTGGAGAGCGCCCAGCATTTCCATCTGCTGACAAACCTCCAGGAAAGTCTCTTAGTGTGTGAGGCTTCCAAACAGGAGCTCCTGACTTAGGACTGCTGAGGAGTGTGCTCAGGTGACCAAGCAGATCTTCCTGGAGTGGAGGAGATTGCTGGTTGTTCTGCTGCTTGAGTAGAAGTGTGCCCAGGTAAGGAGGAAAGGGAGCTTCTCTAGAAGACATGGCCAGAGACCCATGGAGCAGTGTCGTGCGCTCCTTGCCAGTCCCTGTGGCAGTATGAGGATGCCATGAGAAAGCCAAAACCCTCTCTGTCCTTTGCTTGTACCAACTCCACTGGGGCTGCCACACCAGCGTTAAGAGCTATTCATTCATCCTTGGCGATAGCTGTAGTATAAACTAGTCTCCGTTTCTTGCTGTTTGCTGCTGCTTCCCTTGCTGTAAGGCACTGTAAACTTGTGTCCTCCCTGCAAAGGAATCCTTGGGCAGGAAGGAGGATTAGGATATGGGAAGCTAAGCACTGTTTGCTTAACAAATGTATGTTTCCTGTAAGGGTGTGACAATGTGTTTTGGCAGTTGGCAGCTGTGTGGTTACATGATTATGGCTTTCACTGTGGCTAAAGGATTAGTCCTGTGGTTTTAGTGGAAACTGCCAGTCGTCAGCCTTATCCTGGGCTGCAGCGGCACCAGTGATCTCAAAAGCAGCAGCTGTGGTTCCGCCCTGAGGGAAGGAGAGAGTCTTGGAGGAGCAATAACCTTCCCCAGGAGGCTGTTGGACGATGAGCCTCCTAGCTCTGGGCAGTGACGTAGGTGAAGGAGCTTCTTTCTGGAGGGGACTTAAACCTGGGTTTTGAGACCCCGCTCAGGACCTCAGGCCGCTCCTGCAGTGCAGGCTTCCATAGCGGCTGAGCCTGCTGAAGTAGCTGCTCACCAGTTGTTCTCCAAAGAGCTGCGCACATGAAAACCTGGGCTAATTTCTTAGAGATAAAAATGAGGTCGTCTGAGCTGAGTATCCTTGAGCAGCAATGGAAAACATGTATTATTCATCGAGTGTGGAGGCTGTGCTTTTGCACTGCAATTGCTACCCTGAAGTCCAGGTCTCAAAAGGGATCACGGGCCCTGTAAATGAGGCGCTATCCTACCGAGCCATTCTCTGTATTGCATAATCCTGTCTGGGAGGTAATCCCACTGTGGGGGCAAGATTTATGAATAAGGATCTTTAAAACTCCTCTGGAATCTTATTATGGTGCCAGTCTTGTTCTGATTCTTCCGGTCTCTTTGCAAGGTGCCAAAACTGGAAAGGACTCTGGGTGCTACCACTCTAAGAGTGATGATGTGAACTGTAAGTCCTGTCAAAAGTCCATGTTAGAGGAAGTATAAGGCACAAACTTTCCCCTTGTGTGTTTTTATATATATTTATATATATATATATATATATATAAAAATATGTGTGTGTGTATGTGTGTGTGTGTACTTCTAGTTGCATGAAGTCAGTAATCTCAGTTATGGTAGGCTGGAAGACCAATTACTATGAAATAGCTATTCTAATATATTGAAACACAGCTTCTGTGGGGACAGTAAGTTACCACTGTCAAGTAACCTCTTCTCTCATCTTCCACACCAGGTAGCTCTTAGACTTGATAAGAGTTAACATTAGGCTGATAGGTCTGTGTTTTCTTTCCAGTTTTGAAAGCCAAGACTAGTCTCTCAAGCTTTGCCCTTTTTTTGGTTGGCATGGTGTTTAGTGAATTCTCGAATAAGAGTTATTTTTCAGATTTAATTTGCTAATTTTCACGGTCTGTGGACAGTTCACACCAGTTGTCCCGAGTAGTCACAGACTTGTGTTTAGCTGGTCCCTCTGCTTCTTTTGTGACTTTTCTGTCTCCTGGGGACCTAAGTGAACCGCACTGTGCTTGGGTGGGCTGTCCTAGCGCTGGCAGCACCAACACCCACAGCCCTTCCAGCGAGTCCGGCTTTCTTGAAGACTTACTGAGATTGGTGAAAGTGCGAGGGCCTGTCCATCTCATTCACAGACTTTTACTGAGATTATGAGTAAATCCATTGCAAGAAGCTTTAGGTGTTAAATTGTATTAAAGGCTGGAAGAATTTCTGCAGAGCAAATACAGATCTGGCATGATATATGAAATGTAGTTATTAAAACCAGCCCCTACTCGGGCAAGTGGACTCTCTCAGCTCTCACACCGAGGTTTCCCTTATCCTGGGGTCATCTAGTTATTACATAACCAAACAGCAATCAACAGTTTGCCATTAGTGGCGGGCTGCCTGGTGTTTTAGCCGTTAATGCCATTCTGTGGGATTTAGGGAATCTGTGCCCGCAGATTGGGGGGGAGCTGGGGGGAGCACGTGGCGTTCAGTGGCCTTAGGGTAACAGCGAAGTTACGGTGCGTTCATGATGAAGAAATGGCTGCAGAATGGGATGGTGAGAGCCCAGAAAAATCTAGAGAACAGTCTTGTGGTTGCATCAGAATCAAAAACCTTTTTGAACGTCTTAATTATTATTAAATATAATGGATTGTTTCTCCCTCTATAAGAAGGTAAAAAGAGAATTAAATGTCTTGTTGTTTCCACATTCATTAAATGTATCTGGAAAAATATACAGCCAAACCAAAGTACCCAATTCACCCATGCAATCAGGTAATACAAAAATAATATGCGTGGGAGAAGAGATGATGTTAACTATCTTAACTGAAACCCATATCACACAGAAGTTATCTCCTAAAGCTTAATGTTGGCTTAATTCAGCTTACTGTATGTAATTTAGGAGTATAGTTTATATCCTCTTTCATAATTATACTTCTCATTGTTTAGTAATGCTCTTTATTTCTTATCTTTTGTTCTGTCAGTTGTAATATTAAGTCCATAAAAGCATGACGTTGGAACAGATCTTTTAGTTGCATTTTAAAATATTAATTAAAAGTGAGATTTCATCTTTTTAAGCACCTTCAGTGGAATAACCTCCCTTTCATCTAGCATGTGTATTTCGTCAAAATGTTGCTGCTGGCTCTTGGCAGTGGAGTTTCGCCACTACTGGTTAAGTAATAGCTATTATCCTGAATAATTAAAAAAAGGAAGAGCAGTGGTGAAACATCCCCGAGCTGCTGCTGCCATGGTTTGCTGTAGGGTTCCAGTGCTAGCTGTGGCAGGCAGTGTGTGTATCCTGGTAGCTGTGTATCACAGCACGTGAAACAGATGAGTGTCTCCTGTGCGAGGAGGAAGGGAGGTCTCATTTGTTGCTGTTGTAAGGGACATGGTTGCTTATCTTAAAATACAAATTACCAGGGAGGAATTCAAATTCCAGTAATATTTTTCCTCTAGTATCAAGTGAAAAATTCTGCACGTCTTGAAGGCCCTTGCAGTAAAACACCAGAGCAGCCAGAGGCACATGCCACGACTGGCACTCTTGTTGAACCAAGCCAGATGAAGTGTAGGCTGCTGAAAACCATGGAAATAGCTGCTGAACCTGTAAACGAAACAGTCAGTTTTTGCAAGAGGCGTGGAGGGCAGAGGGCTCAGCTCTTGCCTGGCTCTTGGAGCCCTGCATGCACGCGGGGCTGCACGAGAGCAGTGCGGGGCGCGCAGCGGTTGGCTGCTCCGCGGCGGATTAGCGCCGTTCCCGACGCCGGGCTGCGCCTGTGGCCAGCGGTCAGCGTCCCAGCCCGCCCTTCCAGCAGCAGCAGCAGCTGGATTTATTCAGCAGTGGGAAGCAGCGCTTGTTGAGTACAACAGAAAGCATCTGCCCAATGTGCAAGATTCCAAGGAACATCTGGGAATGGTGCGGATGGCTTCCCTGCTGGCAGCGGAGATGCACCATGTGCTGGGCAGCGTGGCTGCTCCGGAGCAGGTCCAGCTGGCACAAATGGGTTTGTATCCGGGGTAACACCTGGTAAATCTGCGGTTTCTTCCAGAAAGCAGATGTGCTTATTACAAAGGACAATTACCAGAGCTTCAACTAAAGATGAGAGCTCTTTCAGTTCAGATCTGTCTTGCTTTTATGATTATTCTGGAAGGGGGGAAAAAGGAACAGGAACAGACTTGAATTTTGGTAACATAAAGATACCGTGAACTACAGTATGTCTGTTAAGATGTTTTCATGCTGTTGAAATAAGTTTCTGTAACTCTGAAAACTTTTTTTTTCTAATTTCCAATTTTTCTGTTTTGAGGTTAAATTTACAAATGTGAACATTTTTTTCTTTGAATTTCCAGTTTAAATAACTCTTAATTTGCTTTCTTCTTGTTCTCTTAGTGTATCATAAACTACAGTAATTTATAAACTAGAGCCAATTTTCAGACATTGGAAAAATCGTACAGTTAGTCCTTGCATTGAAAGATTATCCAGTAATAGAAATGGTGCCTTGTTTTCTCAAATGCCAATATAAATCTACACTGAAGAGCTGTTCATTTTCTCAGTATTACTAGTTTATCTAGAGTACTAAGTGTTTTGCTAGAACCAGTGCTGATATCCCAGGTTAATCTCTTTGCGATGAGCAAATATTCTTGAATTGCGTGCTCTTCTGAGCTTTGTTCTGAATTGCTTCTGCTCAATAGCTCTGCCCCATTCAGATGCTAATGTGCCGTGTGTGTCTCTTGTGAGTGTCTGGCTAGAGGTTGAAATTAGCATATTAGAAATAGACTAGAAAAAGTTTGTTTCTTTGTGTCCTTGTATTTTATAAACAGTGGAAAGGAAAGGATCGAGTGTTTAATAAATGATCCCTAGAAGTGAAAGCCAGTGGCCTTTGGGTGGTGTGGCACCCCTGTCCCCATGGGCTGGTGTCCAAAGGGGGTTCCTTCTCTGTCATTAGCAGTGCGTAGGGATGATGCAATGAGCTTTCTTACACAGGCTGTTGTTTAAATGGTTGCATTCTGATGGTATTTTCTTAGAACTGGAAAAAATGCAGAAAAGCTTAATGTAGAGTCACACATGAGAGCCCTTCCGTGTGACTCCTTTTTCTGAAGAAGAAGGGGGAAAATCTCTGATCTGCTGTGAAGAAACCATTGTAAAATATTAGCCTGAAGTATTGTTTTAAATCATAGCTTTTGTATCTATGGAACTTGTATCTATGAAACTTTAGAAATTTTAAAGTAAGGGGAAATCTCTGGCAGTCTTTGAATTTGACAAGTTCTACTTGATTTTAGGATTCATGGTGATAGAAATTAAGCTACCAACTGCTTAATGAAGCTGAATGTTACACTTGCAGTAAATAGGAGTGTCATATAGAGCCAAGTGTTATCCAAATACAGTAAAAGGATTTACTTTTCTTATTTCTGAAATCAGATCTTTGGCTTTTTTTTTTTTTTTTTAATTGGATTTTACTGAATAGTTGAAAATCAACTTTACTTGCAAAACCTCTTGCACAGTAATGCTGTATCATTTAAGGCACAAGTCAAAATTCTTGTATGGAAGGTAGGTGTTTAAAAGTGGTAATTTATTTTTTATTAGCAGAATTGATTGAATTTATTCATTTCTGCTTTGCAGTTGAAAGATGCATGAGTGTTATGCAGTCTGGGACTCAGATGGTGAAGCTGAAGAGTGGGACCAAAGGGCTAGTTCGTCTCTTTTACCTGGATGAGCACAGGACCTGCATCCGATGGAGACCCTCCAGAAAAAGCGAAAAGGCAAAAAGTAAAATTTTGATATTTCCTTGAATTCCTTGGGCACTTCAGTATTAGGAGGTGAATTAGAGGGAAAATTGAACTTTTTTTTTTTTTTTTTCATAGATTAAATCTTTTCAATGCTTATTTAAATGTAATGTAATAAATACTTCAGCTTTTCAGTGCTGCCTTGGAGGGCAGGTTTGCTGCGCACACAACATGGCCAAACTCAGAGGTCCCTAATATTAAAAATATTTATCTCTTACCATGAGCAATGTGGAATTGCTCAGAAGCAGTTAAGAAGCTGGGCACGTGTCAGACCTTGATTTCCCTTTTCCCTCGCAGTCGTCATCGATTCAATTTACAAAGTTGCCGAGGGCCGCCAGTCTGAGATCTTCCACCGCCACACGGAGGGGAGCTTTGACCCCAGCTGTTGCTTTACTATTTATCATGGCAACCACATGGAGTCACTGGATCTGATTACGTCCAACCCCGAAGAGGCTCGCACCTGGATCACAGGGCTGAAGTACTTGATGGCTGGAATAAGTGATGAGGACTCCCTAGCTAAGCGGCAGAGAACTCATGATCAGTATCCTTTACACGCTTGAGCTCCAGCTCTCATCATAGTTTCCTGCTCATTTTTAGGGACTTTTGTATAGGGTGTCCTTTAAACCGCTGTTCAGTGACTGAAAATTTTGCTGGTGTTTGCAATGGTGTTGTCTTAGGGGTTTGGTGTGGGCACTTACTGTGCCGTAGTTGAGTCATTCCTATGTAGCTGATCCTTCCCGTGCTTTTCCCAAAAGGGAAGCTTTCTGTGTGTGAGCACTGGCAGCCTGACTGCTTGTCTCCTTGCCACACTATTAACAACCTGTGAAAGACTACAGCCTCTTAGACTGTAGACAGAAGGATTTTTCTTGCCTCCTATTTGTCTAATCATGCAGTTATTCTGGTTATGTGAGCTGGAAAGTCCACTAGAAGACACTATTTGAGCTGTTACTGGCTGGAAACTCCATCTTGTTAGTCTGTGTGCAGGTGAAACCCTAAATGTTGTGACTGTTCTCAGTAAAATGAGCAGTGATTCTTGGCCATCTCAATTTCTCTTGGTTTGTGTCAGGTATCTGTGTGTGCTCAGCCTCCACTCACTGTATAGAGCACGAGTCTTTAAGACTCTTTGCTGTAGTCTAGATATGAAAATGAACCTCTTGTGACCAGGAGAGCTCCTGGATGTCTTTTCGACGTGCTTTCTTTCAAATGGTGCTGTTGTCTTGAAAACTCTCCCTGCTGAGCAAGGAGAGATTATCTTAATTATAAGTGTAACCCGTCTCCTGCCCCAGGGAAAGCTGCAGTGGCTGCTCACAGGTACTTCTCATGGAGAACGTACGTGTGTTAGGTATTTTTCATTTCTATTTTCAGTGTTTACTTCTGGCACAAGACTAACCTGTATTCATTTGAGGGATATATTGCATTCTCTGTGAAAACATGTGCTACTTTCTGTGTTTGTCCATGATTCCTTGGAGTTGTACATATCTGCTGCATGTTCCCCTCTGGCGAAGTGTCGCATTGAGTCCTCTCTGTGTAACGGAATGTGGCACCAGGAAGGCTGCAAATGAATGACCTGTACGGCGGAAGTTAGCGAAAGCTGCAGCGGGATATATGTGCAAAGAGAAGATTAGGTTAAAGATCAAGCTAAAGGTTAGGAGATGAGGAGGAAGGAGAGATGCAGGATACAGTATCAGAGCAAGCCCAGTACTATTTAAAAATTAGCTTATTTAAAAACCCCTGGAAATGTACACTAAAGTCAGAAAGGAGAACCAGGGGGATAGTGCTGTGAACCTGAGTGTAAATAATTGTCAGAAATTGGCACCAATTTTAAAGACAGATGTTTCATTTAAATGTTTAATGGCTCTTTCCCATGCATTTGTTCAGTGTCACCTTGATCCCATATTCACTTGCAGCACGTCCTGTGGTAGGTTGTTGTGGGCATGAATGGAGTGCCAGGTGAAGAAGCGCCTCCTTTTTATTTTATTTATTTATTTTAATTCTTCTAACTTAACAATTGCTAGTTTTATTTGATGATCACTGTTGTATGGGAAGAAACAGCAAATATTTGATCCCTGTATATTTTCTCTGTACAACTTAAGAATTTTATGGGCTTGTTGCTGCCCTGTGGAAGTAAAAGGTGAGAGATGTGAGAGAAAGTGCTGATGAGGAGAAAAATTCTTGAGAAATTGAAGGCTTAAATATGAATGAAAGAGCTGTAGGATAGTCCTGAAGGAGGAAACATAGAAAGACAGTGTTTTTTAATGAGTTTCTTATGGAAACTGCAGGGTTAGTAGTAATGTGTGTGGTTTCACTGAATCTCCCTCGTTCCTTCCTCTTGCACTAGATTAATGACATCCCTTACACAGGTGCCTGTTAAGCCTAGGTGCTGAAAGTCACAAGTCCAGCAGGGCTCGGATGTAGCTCTGCTGAAGCCGGTGGGTTTAGTTGCACCCTGTGACTCTACAGAATAGGTACAGAAGTGAAAATGATTCAGTTCAGCTTCCGTGTGGAGAAACCATTTTGCCAGGAGGCCCTGCCTTGCGAAGGGTAAGTTTGTGAAGACTGTCCCAAGCAATGCTCAGGGCAGATGCTGAGGTGCTCTGCTAAGGAGCCAGCAGAGCCTGGCATCATCTGCAGTCTGCTGTACGTGCCCCGGGCTCTGCCTCCCTGCACAAACCTCTCCGTTGCACTTTCCCTTAACCTCTTCACAGCTGGGTGAAACAGACCTTTGAGGAGGCTGACAAGAACGGAGACGGCCTGCTCAATATTGAAGAGATCCACCAGCTGATGCACAAGCTGAATGTTAACTTGCCCCGGCGGAAGGTCCGGCAGATGTTCCAGGTCAGTGGCCTCTTGCACACAAGGTTATGGGAAGGCAGCGCCAGAAAGAGCATGTGTGAACTGGGACTTCAAATCCTGTCCTTTTCAATGCCCCACAAGTTGTTTTTTTCTATTCAGTATTAGTATTACTTTTTCAAATACATCATTGTTTTCATTTTTGTGTATCATCCTGTGCTGTGGCATAGTAATGTACAATGAAGTTGCTGTTTATCATTTTTTTTTATATTTATTCTATGGAAAAATATTTAATAGATTTGATAAAAAGAATTGCCTTTGTAACTTCCTCTTATAGTTAAGTGCTAAGCTAAGGGCACACGCAGAAGCATTGTTAACTGTCCAAAACTGGCACTGGCTAAAATCTGTGTGCTTTTATTGTTGTTTTTTGTTTTCTTTAATAAAAAAGCGGGGGCCGGGCGAAGCCAAGCAGGGGACAGTGGTGGAAAGTTGCGTATAATCAGAATTGTTTGCCTGTCTGGCACAAAATCAGCATCTGCAGCATCCCCAATGGAGTGCAGATTACTCCCTGATGATCTGAGAAGGGTGGCGGCTTGTGATGCAGAGGTGCATTATAACTTTCATTTGGAGTATACGGTAGATTTAAAATGATCAGTTAAGGTCCTGTTTGATAGCAGATAGCAGGGAATTACTTTCCTCTCAGCTTACTTGCAGTGATGTGAGCTTATAGCTCAGGTGACAGTAGCACTAACAAGGTGTAATGAAATGCAGCTCCCAGAGATGCTCAGGTGTTGCTGATGCTGTTGACGGCTGCAGGAGCAGCAGAGAGTTGTGAAGCCATGCACTGACACACTAAGAAAACAAACAAAACCTTTCAGCTCCCGCTCTTTTAAAGAAATACCTGGGGACGGAGGAAGGAATTCAACAGCAGGCATCAGCCTCTTTATAACTGGAGACACCTTTCATTTGGATTTGGTAAAAATAGGCTGGTGTTGGGTACTTGGGTGTGCACACTCATTCTGCTCTTGTGGTCCTGCTCGAGTGACTTGGGATATGTGAATGGGGGGTAAAACCCGCCCCTTGGGCAGGGAAGCAGGACACATCCATTCATTGTTTCCTATTTGCTGATCTCCTCTACTCTCAGGAAGTGAAAGGTGGGTGAGGGCTGAGTGCTGCTGGAGAGGGGTTTGCAGTTAGTGAGTGAGCAAAGAGGGAAGCCAACAGGTTCAAAGCCAAGTCACTGTTTAAAAGCTCTGCCCACGGGGTGCCCTGGTATGAATAGAAGGATGCACCATTTTTGATGGGTAGAACTTGGGAATGGTGGTTCTTATGGTTTTATTTTGTTTTTAACTACAGAGAAAAATAATTTTATACAGCTGTTGAATGAACGATGTTGTTCATGGAAGCAAACAGCATATCTCTAGTACTAAACTTTGATATCACACTTTTCCATCATCAACTTAAAATGTCAGGCTTAGCAGGACTTGCCGTTTTCCAGAAGATTGGTTATGCAGAGACCTACACCTTTGACAGCAGTTCTCCAGATATATTCTTTGTTTCACAAATCCAAAGCAGTCGTTTGGGCAGATTTCACAGCAAAGAGCCTGGGTTAACATACCTTACGTACTGTTTTCTTCCTTCCCTACCTCTGATGGCAAACAAAGCCTGCAGGCAGGACTGTGGTTATTGGGGGTGTATTTTGGTGGGAACCTACCTGCTGCTGCAGACCTGCCTGCCCTCCAAAGCGCTGTCAGTGGCTGAGAGTGTTGCAGTTTGATCTAACATAAATTTAAGACTAGTTATGTTCTTTGCTATGGTGTAATCCAGGATAAGTGTAAGACATTCAAGAGTGAGGGAGAGATTATAATAATGCCCAGGATGAGCCTCTTTGAGTTTATTTCCTTTATGAAGATGGAGTTGAGATCTTCATGGGGATCTTGTTTTAGTGCAATAATTCCTTTCACCAAAAAAATTCCAATAGATGTCATTACACTATTGTGGTTGCTTGCCATGCCTGCTAGGATTTCTGAGACTGAACAGGTTCATGGGCTAGAATTCCTGAAATGTATTTGCTTGTACATAAGTCCTGTTTTGCCTGAAATTTCCTGATTTCATAAGGATCTGTCACACTTACTTCAGTGTCCTTACCTCTTAGGAAGCTGACACAGATGAGAATCAGGGAACCCTCAATTTTGAAGAGTTTTCGGTATTTTACAAGATGATGTCCTTACGACGAGATCTCTATTTACTGCTCTTGAGCTACAGTGACAAGAAGGATCATCTCACGGTTGAAGAACTTGCTCAGTTTCTGAAGGTGGAACAAAAGGTAGGGGAATGTTGCACAGTCAAATATATGTATGTGTGTATAAAATAAATGCAAGCAGAGGAAAAGAATTTTGTGAACAAAGTATTGTTCTGAGGGAAGGCAAGAGAATACATGCTGGAACTGGGAAAAAAATATGTTTTTAAACACTTCTAGAAAATGTGAACTTCTGGGACTCTTTGTGGTAGTGGAAAAGCAGCACAGGGCAGTATTATTAGTTTATTATAATAGCATTTGGATAACATTTATACTTGTCTTTTTTATCTTTTGTCTATTAGCACAGTTATCTTTAACAGTTTGTTTTTCAAGGACGTGAGGTACATGTGTGGGATAGAGGCTAATGTATCTAGCATAGATTTTTTTCATGATTAAAAATCTTGGCAGGTATATTCCCACATGAATTAGCATAATATGTGATAAGTTTTAAAGCTGGAAACGTGTGCCAAAATACAAAGAATACATTAAACTAATTTATTTGTGACCATCTGCAAGTAGTTTGCCTGACTGGTTTAGTTCAGTAACTTGTGTTAAGATGAAGTTTTCTCGTTGCATATTGATTCAGGTAAGCAAAATAGGATTCTGTGACACTGTTATGTATCTCATGAGCTCCCAAGTAGGAGCAGCAGTAGTAAAAGCAGCAGTTCTTATAAAAGCAATAGCTTTAGTGTTGACAAATACACAGGTTTTGGTGATATGAAAATATATATAGAAAAAATACAGAGTTTATTAGGCAAAGAAAATTTCGCAGTTAAAGGTTGCCTTTCAGTGTGCGACCTCAGAAGCAAGTAGAGGTCAGAGATTTCCCCTGATGAACGTCCCTGGCAAGTGGTAATAACAAGCTGTGTTTTTTACTGAATTTTCCCATTTCTGGCAGTTGTGGTAGAATTCTCTGACGTGTCTGACTCCCCAGTTCTTCCCTCCTCATTCCTCAAAATATGGGCTTTTTGTCACCATTAACACTGCGATAGCCTCAACACACAAGTTTTCCTGCAAGCAAATGTGGGACCTCTGCTAGCTGCAATTTTAAAGCACCGAACACTTGTTTTTTCCATTCTGCTCTTGCCCTAAATTTGAGCTCCCTGATTTTTGTTTTGTTGCCTTTTTAATTGGTGCCCTCTCTGTAAGTGCCCCTCTGTGGAGCGCTCTTGACAGCAGCAGCAAGCCTGACGCTGCTGAGGAAGCGAAGGCAGCCCCCTGGGGAGGATGTTCGTGGAGAGGCCCGAGTGCCAGACACAGCTGAGGAGCAATGTTATGTGAGGAGGGCTCTCGGGGAGCTGCAGCAAAAGGAGAAACACATTAGAGAGAGGCTGAGAGGGAGGCACGCATCTTGCTTGGCTATACCAGGACACTGGGAAACTACTGATGAAGCAGAAATAAGTTGACTGGCCAGCCTGGCTTACTGCATCCCTTCTGCCTCTGCACCTAGCCCTGTCCTGAAAACAGACACAGCTCTAGGCTCTAAGCAGTCTGCTCAACTCTGTTCAAGTGGATATATAAAAATATGATTCCTATACATAGGTCTCTTGGCAGCAGGCTAAGAAGCACCTTACACTTGCTTTGCCTCCTCTCTCCTGTTGTCTTATCTCATTTCCCGGTATTAACAGTGCTGGAGCAGACTTGCCCTTTCACATTTCACAACACAGACATGAGTGATAACAATGTCTTCAGGCAGTGTTAGGCTACTTTCAAAAGATGATAATTATTCAAATCACAATGCAACTCTAAAATGTCTTCAACCAAACGTCATTTAATTTTTGCTGTCAGCTGTCTGCTTGATATTTGTGGACAGTCCATACAACTCCATCTGCTACTCTTTTGGCAAGGCTTTTGGATGTTCTGCAGCCCGAGGGTAGAGGATTTAGGTGGGGTTTTGCTTTTGTGTTTTGTTTGTTTCTTTTGTTTTTTGAGGAGGCTGTTTTTAACATTATGAGCTTACCTCTTCAGGAGGTTTTCCAGTTGTCCTCCCCATGAAACAGATTGTTTTCACCTAAGTGCAGTTAAGCTCGCTTCATCACCACTGAAATAGCAATTATATGGCTTCGGCATAACGGAGCAGAAAACAGGTTGGTTTCCTGGCGTGGCTGCTGATGCTCCAGTGGTCGCTCTGGCCAGCATCCCTGGTGAGGTCTGTGTGCCAGCGAGTCCTCCCTTCAGCAGTGCTGCTTCCTGAAGAACCAGCACCGGTGTCCGGATTGGGAAGCCGATGTGCTGTGAAATGACAAGCTCTGACACTCGTGTCAAGTTTTGTGTAGTTGCCAGGTTTCTATTGGGTTACGCACCTGGAATGGTCAGTTTGGGCTTTCTGTGAGAGAACATATGGAGAGAGGTTTCTCTGAGTGCCCGTTTGGCACCAGCTGTTTTTCTCCATCTCAGTTACCTTGTGAGACACTTCTCATCTGTCGTGAAGGAAAGGAGAGCCTGCTGAGACCTGCCTGCCACCCCAGTCTGGGTGCTGCCCGCCCCGGGAAAGTGCTCTGCACCTCTCAGCATTCCCCATCACGCGGCCGAGCGACGGGCTCCGTATGGAAATGTCACACCGTGCTGTTCTAGTGGCACCAAACTGATGGATTGCGTGGCTGGGGGCCAGTGCTGTGCACAGCGGAGCCTTGGGGTGGCAGGAGGGGCCCCTACCCTGGGTAGGCTGCATCTGCATCCTCAAACTGCGTGTTCCAAGTACACGCGATGTGTGTGCTTTGGAGAACGGCTCCTTCACCCTGGTGGCTTGGTTCTGGTGCCCTCTGTAGTGAGCAGGGGAGTTGAAGCCCCCCCGGGAACAGGAGGAGCTCGCCGGCAGGGCTGCGTCCTGGCAGCTTCTCTGCCTGGCAGGGAATGAACACACGACTGCTCCCTCATCCCAGCGTTGGAGCTGGTTGCCCTCGGGCGTTCTAACGGGACCGAGGAGGAAGTAATTTTACAATTACACCCTGGGAACATGTGCATTTTATCTTGTAAAGCTTTGCATTAGCTACTCAATATGGGTTAGTGGATTTTGAGTTGTAAGTCTGCTTGAGAGAATAAATTTATCCTTTTTCTTTGTCCTACACTAATTATATGGTGCCACAGGAATAACTGGTGTTGCAGTAAATACTGCTTTTGTCATGTTTTTATTAGGAAATAAGCATTAAATACATGTTTGGAAAGGGGATATTTTTGAAGCTACTATACCTGCTCTCCAGGATTTGGCTTTAAAGAAATGTAGTGAGTCAATGTATGTTAGGGAAGTAAATGGCATCTTTTTGTATGTGATAATCTTACTTTGTGTAATCCTAGATGATGCCTTTACAGTGACACTGGAGGATGTGAATTGAAAGGGAGCATATACTGAAAGAGAGCAGGAACTAATATCCTGAAAAGAGTAAGAAATGAGAATATTGATGCTGGTGCATGTACCTTGAAAAGAAGGGAAGACTGGATTGTGTTAATCTTGCACCAGGAGCATGAAACGCGGTCGTGACGCCTGGTCAATCCTTGCTGCTTTCTGCAGGAACGCTGGTTGCAGCAGTATAAACTCTTAATTAGAAAGCAAACTGGTTCCTGTTCCTCCTCATACACTTGCAGGAAGGACCATAACTAGCCTTGGTATGTCCCGATATTTTGATGTTATGATGCTGTAAGCACTGAGCTTACATTGAAACTGGAAGAATTGTCCTTGCTCGCCCTGGCTCTTTCTGTGTTGACTTTTGTGATGGCATTGTGAGCAAATACAGCCTGAGCCATTAGAGCCCTGTTCACAGAGCGGCTGAGGTGGAAGGGACCTCTGGAGAGGTCCAGTCTAAGCCCCTGCCCCAGCAGGGCCGCCCTGGGCTCAGTTTGCCTGCAATTGGGTCCAGGCAGCTTTTGAGCATCTCCCAAGACAGGCGCTCCAGAACCTCTCTGAGCAGTTTGTTCCAGTGCTGAGTCGCTTTCACGCAGAAGCTTGGGCTCGTGTTCAGGCAGAACTTTCCGTGTTCCACTGCTGAAACACTTCAGTGGGTTGCAGTCCTGTCCAGAAATGCTCACTCTTAGAATTGCACTTCTTTTCCTATTTGCTCTTCCCTTTGAGGCAAGCTTTCCTACTTCACTCTCTTCTCGTTTCCCTTCCCATTCTCTGCTCTGGGCTTGCTGGAGAAGAAGGCTCTCCCATTATCTGGCATTGCCACGGTCTGCCCATTCTCATGGTAATTCTGTTGCAAAAACTGAGTATCTGCCCTACTTGCAAGGAGGTTCGTGAAACCAAAAGTGATTTTTCTTCCCTGTCAGAATGGGGGATAATGTTGCTTCTTGCAGAGTTTTGAAGGATGTTATTTTTGGAAAGTAAATTAATTCATTCACTTATCCAAAGGTCTCACTGGACATTCAAAGACTTATATTCCTTTGAAAGAACATACAATCAGAAGTACTATTTTAAAAATAGCTGTATATCCAACTTTTTTGGAAAGAATCAGTATTGACTATTGCCAATAATTCATGCATCTAAATATTCAGTCACTACTGAACATCTCTTTCTCTATGTATGTATACATATATATGTATATGAATTATTATATATATAACTTTTAACAGAAGACTTTAATAAAAGCAAATTAGAAGCCAAAGTCATCATATCTCCCAAGACAGAGTTAGGAAGTGCAGGTCAGTGGACTTTCCTCAACAGATGCAGCTTTGGACAAGATTAGATGATTTAATGCCCAAAGCGCACAAGTACCCTGTTGTCAGATGCCCAGGAGCCATGTGGAATAATGAAAAAGTTAATTTTAGCCTCCTTGTGCTGTAGGAGAGGCTGTTACAAATAGTGTTTGTAATCAAACAGCAACATATACTTGAGCTGGGATAATCAGTTGTTTACTGAATTGTTCTTGTTCTGTTGTCCTGTGTAATTCTCGTTGGCATCTCATCATGTCAGCTTAGCTGGCTGATATAAATAAAATCTTCCGAGGAGAAAAGCCAAGCCGTTCTTCTCCTGTGCAAGAAATGCAGGGGGCAAGGAGTAGGGAAGAAGGATGTGAATGGAAAGACAGACTCTAGCATAGCTCTGTTGTAGAATTGTCGCAATTGTCCGGAATTCAGATGCTTGTTAGACATTCTGGTCTGTAAGGGTCTGTGTGGGCTCCTTGAAGCCCCTGTTCCCCTTCAGCAGGCTGAAGCCGGCAGTTCTCAGCCTGTGGGCGCAGCCTTCCTGCCTTTGGCCACCCAAACCATGTTGCCTTGGCTGGGTTTGGGTTGGGGCCGGGGCGCTGCTGGCACCGCGGTCTGGGCCGGGCCGAGGCGGCTCCGGCCGCTGGGAGCAACAGGAGGCTGCTCCGGTTGTTGCTGCCGCCCGCCCTGCCGAGGGTAAGGCCAGAGCTTGGGCTGTGTCCCGGGCACCGCTCCTGCCGCGCTCACGGGCAGCCCCTTCGGACCGAAGGAAGCTGGTTCTGCTCCCATACAGCTCGTTTGCTCGTTGCTCGTTACAGGCGTGCGCTGGCAACGAGCTGCAGAGTTCCCGGTAAGAATACATTCAGTGGGGCTAATGTTGAATTCCAAGGTTGGAATTCAAGCTTGCAGGGTTGGAGCTTGGTTGGGCAGATTGTCAGAATTACCCATTAACTAGCCTGCTTTGCAGTTTGGTAAAGGTAAGCTTAAGTGTAGACTGGAATAAGATGCAGTGTTAAAGCAAGCTGTGTTAACAGCAGCCTCAAGATAATGTTGAGTATTTGTCAAGTCAAGAACACTGGAAATGACAGTTATAATCGTGTATGTTTTATAATGGTGTAATTTAGAACTAATTCAAAATGTTAAAACAAAAAAGAACTCCTAAGGTAGTGTGATACTATCTGAGGTGTGAAGCCATTCTGAAATGGTGAGGATAATGAAACACAGATGGAGATGGAAGACAAGGTAAAGCACGTGGACCTGACAGTATTAAAAAGGATAGGATAATATGTCTTTATTAAGACAAATAAAGATGAATAAAGCTTCTGACTGCTGTGCCAGAGAGAATTTCTTTTAGCATGCCTGAGAGCCCGTAGTATATAATCCAACTCTGCATTGAATAAACCTGCTGTGTGAGAAAGTGACTTTTACAAGTTTACAGTTGAGTTGACCCCAGGGTCCTTTAGGAGTCCTCAGCATGTGACTGAATTGGGCCCTAAAGACAGATTCGACCCTCTTGGTCATTTTTTTAGCAGATTTCTGTATAGTTGAATGCTGCTGCTGGAAATGTTGATGGAAAGAACAAATCCATTGGGCTAGAGACTCTCCCACTGCTCCCAAGCACTCGATATTGCATCACCTGCAGCAGGACTAACCTCACGCAGTCCCATTAGCAGGGTTAACGTGTTAACGCTTTCAGGAAAGGGAGCTGCACGATCTCTTGCTTCCAGCCTGCTGCAAGTGTCAGCTCGAGGCAGGGGGTTCGCGCTGCCGTCGGCCAAGGTTACTGAGAACTGGCAGGAGAGATGCGGCGGCTACGGATAAGCTGCCAAAGTTGTTAAGCGTCAGCATTGCCATGCTCTGATATTAATGGAGGAAAAAATATGAGCAGTCTTATGTTTTTATTTGGGTTCACTATGATTTAGTGAGGGGGAGGGAAAGAGGTGGAAAGGAGAGGAAAAAAGATGGGTAAAAAGTTGCTGCTTTTCTGTAATCTTAGAGGAAATATAAGTATCTATGTGACATTCTGGCCCAATTAAAGTCAGCTAGGACTTCAGTTGTGGGGCAATTGAAGCTGCTGATAAAATCCTCATTTCGGAAGGACTGATGGCTTTGATTTTTAGAATCTGGTTATTTATCTCATAGCCCATTTGTTACAGGTATCCCTCATGGAAGCAATGAGATCAGAAGTGGAAAATAAATGAAAATAAAATCAACCACTTTTTTGTTTTTTGAAAGTAAACTATATCAAAGAATATCACTTCATAATTGTGCTGAGCAATAGACTTGATAAGGAATTATTGTGCTTAACAACTCTTAAGTTCAACTGACATAATTTTCCAAAGTGATCACTGTCTCAATCCTATTTTTTCTTCTCAAAACAGGTAACAGGTTGTGAAACACTGACAAAATCAAATCAAGGAATGGTCCGTCTATGGTAGCATAACTGTTGCTCTCAGTCATGTTCATGAGTCACTGCTCATAAGACTTGCAACTGGACTTAAGAGGCCTGAAGTAGATTTTGGGTAGGGGGTCACATAAAAATAAATTCACCAACTTTGTCATTTTTGTGCAGATGAACAATGTGACACCAGAATATTGCCTTGACATCATACAGAAGTTTGAAGTCTCAGAAGAAAACAAGGAGCAGAATGTTTTGGGTATTGAAGGTAAACTTCTTGAGTTTCAAGTTATTTTCATGTCTTGATCTATTGTAGGGGAATAGAAAAATTTAACGCTGGGTCTAGATTATAATAATTGGTGGTTTTGATAGGATCTTACCTGGGAGACCCGCAGTCAGCAGTGGTAGGTGCCTCTTCGTGCGTTATGGGAGGGATGGGAGAGCAGGCAGGGTGAATCGCCCGAGCAGCGCTGTGCTACCCACCCCGGCTGCGTTTTTTTGCATTCTGCTCATTTTTTTGCATTCTACTCTCTATCTTTGTAGATGTGGAACCCCCTCCTATACAATCCCCTCTTTTATGTTTATGTGAAATAAAGAATAAAGTAAGGATTTTCGTTTTCTTTGTGTTTTAGTGACTTGTTCACCTTGTTTGCCAAAGCAGTTGCAGTTGGTATATTGACAGTCCCATTATTATCAAATTCCACTCTGAATTATTAATTTGCTCAGAGGGCTGTCATGAAGCAGAATAATTTGCTGCATGACTTCTGGGTGGAGGGGGGGTCTTTCTCCACCCCGCGTAGCCTGAATGCAGCCTTCCAGTTCTGCAGGAAGCTTCCTCTGTGACTCTGGGCAATTCCTTTAAGCTGAAATAAAGCAGAGCAGACAAACTGTGACATTTAAGAAGAGTGTTTGGAAAGTGGCGTGGAGCCACCGCAGCGAGTGCAGCGCAGGCTGCGAGGGCTGGAGCGTCGCTCAGAGCAGGGGCTGCAGGAGAGGGTGAGGGGCTCCTCAGAGTGCAGGGGGGCCGGGGCCAGGCTCTGCTCAGTGATGGGCCACGGGCACAACCTGGAATGTGGCAAGACCCACCGGAGCACGAGGAAAAGCCCCTTCCCTGGGCGGTGCCTGCGCAGAGAGGCTGGGCAACCTCCAGCCCCGGAGATATTTGAACCCAGCCTAGACATGATCCTGTGCAGCCTGCACTAGGTGACCTGCTTGGGCAGAGGGTCTGGACCAGGTGGTCTCCAGAGGTGCCTTCCACCCTCCTGTGATTTTGTAATGCTCATTTACAGTGCAGGAGTAGCACTGGGACAAAGTGTTAGAATGTCTGAAGTAAATTCAGGACAAAGTCTTCTGCTTTCAAATCCAGATACAAGTTTGGCTCTTGGTTCTGTCCTGTCATCCACATAAGTTATCAGATCTCCCACTGCCTTCAGTAGGTGTGTGTGCCCTTTGGTTGTGTTGTTGTGATGCTGTTGCTGCCTTCTGAAGATGATTTATCATTAACCTGGGAGCCGTGGGGGATCAGGAGCAGCAGAAAGTCCTGGCCAGTCAGAAGGGCGCAGGGATTACCAGTCTGCAAGGGAGAGAAAGAAGGAACAGACAAAGGGTTTTCTCAACAGTAGTAACATGGCTTTTACCCGCACCTTGTATTTTTGCATTCCCTTTTTATCTCCTAGAATAATTACAAGAGAGGATATTTCAACCACAGGATTGTAGCAGAGCCAGCAGACCCTTCTCTGTTGGTGTTGGCCTGGTTTTGTGTGAACCATGAGAGGCAGCTCTAGCTCTAGCTGTACCAAATCCACCAATTCATGGTGGATTTGACATAGAGGGATTCTCCAGGGTTCAGAGAGTTACACTGGCGTTTTTGTCATTGCTTCTTGAGGGTCTGAAGGAAACACTTGTTTTGAAAAGAGATTATGTAGCCAGCATGCAGCTCTAAGGTTTTTTTTTTCGACCTTCTCATGTAGCTCCTATTTATTATTTAGATCTAATGTTTATATTTGAATTCTAGTTTCTATATTTGCTATTCTTAGTTAATTGATTTCTTATGAGCCTCTTAGCTTGGTGCCATGTTTTGCAAATGCTTGTTATTTTTTCAGCAAGCATAAGTGTGCTTTCCTAGATTGCATTCTCTTTTTTAACTCAAAACTCTCAAAATTGCCCAAAGGCAGAGGTTGAATATTGGGAATATGCTCTCCTCAAAGTCATGAGGACTCCCATAGGCTTCAGTGAGGATTATCTCTGTTGATGGGAGCTGTAGATGGTGTCTATACATCCTCTTCAGAGCAACTTGCACATGAAATGGGCAAACCCCAGACAGCAGTTAATGTGCTGAGAATATGAGATATAGGAAGGCAAATGCAATTCAAGATTAATGTGATTATGCAATTCATCAGCTTTTGAGCCTTGAGTTAACAGCGACAAGGGTGAGCATGTGCCAAGAGTGCAGATTGCTCATTTGATGCGATAGACCACACACATGGAAAAGCTGTTCCTCTTCGTTCCAAGGTTTCACCAACTTTATGCGCAGTCCTGCTTGTGATGTGTTCAATCCGCTGCACTGCGAGGTGCACCAGGACATGGATCAGCCCCTCTGTAACTATTTCATTGCCTCGTCGCACAACACCTACCTGACGGGCGACCAGCTGCTCTCGCAGTCCAGAGCGGAGATGTACGCGCGCGTGCTGCAGGACGGTTGTCGGTGCATTGAAGGTAACGTGTGTGCAGCTTGGGGATTGTGAGGGAAATTATTGAAGATTTAGGTTTGCCACTAAATTTGTGTTCTAATACTGTTGTACTTTTGTTAACAACTTTAGGGGTAAATTCTGTTTTTGACTAATCTAACCAGGAAATTTTATATTGAGAATGACCGTCTCAGGCAAACCCTGAGGCAAACAGTAGACAGCTGTAGACTTTGTGTTCTACTGCACCTTTGTGATTTTACATTACTGTTTAATGTAAGGGGGAAAAAAGCAGTTTTAGGTTGAAAATCATTTATTTAATATAAAAAAGAAAACGTTATGTATGTTGTTAAACTCAGTGCAAAGTCATAATGGAGTGAATAAAACTTGCTGGCACCTGCGTGGTGCAATAATGTACCTGGGTTCTCCGTGCAAACAAGGTGAGCAGAAATGCATGAGATCGTGGACATGTCTTAATGTGCAGGGCTTGTTCTCTTAACAGTGGATTGCTGGGATGGTCCAGATGGGGAGCCGGTAGTGCACCATGGCTATACCCTGACTTCTAAAATATTCTTCCGTGATGTGGCAGAAACAATCAATAAATACGCCTTCCTCAAAAATGAGTAAGTGAAGAGCCAAGTATCTCTCCCAATGTCCTTTTACAAAGGTTGGTCATTTTGAAGCTAGACCTGTCTCTGACCTGTGTCGTAAATCTCATGTGGAAATACAACATTAGAAAGTCTGTGCATTCCTTTAAATGCACCTAAAAAGTGTAAGGGTGATTATTTTCCCATTTATTGCCCATGAAATATTTATTACTCAACTGTGCAAGCTCATTACCTTTCCCATCAATCAAGTTAGAAAGTTCAACCTAAGTTAAAGGCTTTCAGTGCATTGTAAACTCGAGAAGATTTCTGTTTGATATAATCTCATTTCATATTTTATATCTATAAAACAATTTCCTGCATTCTCTACCTAGGGATAATTCTTTATTTCAGCAGTAAAAGAGAAAAGCTGTCTCATATGTAGCATAGGAAATACAGAATATCGAGTATAATTCTTTCTACTTCACCTTACTACTTTATAACCAATATTATTATGAAAATCACGGAGTACTTAAGTAGTCTCAAAAATCATGAATGGATGTATAAAATACTGAGTAGTCTAGAAAGGATGTAGGGGAAGTAGATGTTTACTTAAAAGAATCAAATCAAATAAAAGAGTCAACAGGTGTGGGGGAGTACCCAAGCTGGAAAATTAGGTGTCCTCAATTAGGAACAGGAGCTGGTTTATTTGGTGTATTGTGAGTCTTCTGACTCAGAAAACTTCATCTGCAAATTCCTGGAGCCTGGGAGAGTATTCTGGAAGGTCCTGCCAAATATTTCTCCTGATATCCTTTGGCAGAGGTTGTTGGCATGACTCACTATTCTTATGTCCTTAAATTTATTTAAATTTATGTTGTGTTATTTGCGAGCTTCCCTTGCAAAGCACTGTTACAATATTATTTGGGGGGTTTGTCTTAGGTTTCCAGTGATACTGTCCATCGAAAATCACTGCAGTATTCAACAGCAGAAGAAGATTGCTCAGTACTTAAAGGAGATATTTGGTGACAAACTGGACTTGTCGTCTGTCATCACCGGAGACTCCAAACAGCTTCCTAGCCCTCAGAATTTGAAAGGCAAAATCCTGGTGAAGGTAACTTGCTACGGGCATCATGCTCAAAACGCGCTAAAAGTCGGCATGTGGTGTTTATCCTGGTTCCTCTCCCTTTGGCCCTGGAGAACCTCTCTGGCAGTAGCGTGAGGATCAGAACAGATGCAGAGAGTGAGTTAAAATTCCAAGCTTTTCACTTCGGGGGCTTTGGAAGCAGATTTACTTGACAGGTATCCCAAGATACTTCCATAAATATTTTAACAGACAGGCAATAACAACTCCAACATAAGGAAATTCTTCCCGCTTATTAAGCGTCTTATTTGAGAGTCTCAAAGGCAGTTAGATGCTAGTTTTTAAATGCTAGCATTTGATTATGAGGGAGGGGAAGTGATATAAAATGCATCTTTATGAATAGGGTGAAATGTGACAGTTGCCTGAACCGTTATTGATAAAGCTTTTTTGAAATTGGTATCATTTATGTTACTAGCAGATATTTTTTTTTCTCTGTGATTTGTATCTCTGTAGTATTTACATGTTGTCCTACAGTCTTTACTTGTCCTAAATATTTTGGAATAATATAAAATTACATCAAAACCGATTCCTGCGTTTTCTTGCATTTCATTCCCACCTCGCTATCAGCAGCATTCCATGAAATGAGGTGGTGATTTTAATGATTCGTCCTGTGCTTAGGAGAGAGGGAAGGGCACCTCAGAGGTGGCTGAGGAGCCGCTAGGGAGAAGGCCTCTAGAATGTCACATGCACCATGAATAAGTTGAGCCTTGTAAATATAAGCAGATAGCATTGTTTCTGAAAGGACTTTCAAAGACCACGATGGATATAATAAGAAGGAAATGCTAGACGGGGCTTTGAGAGGACGATTAATACAATTATAGCTTAATAGATCGTCTCTTCCTAATTTACTTTGATGCATGAGGACAATCACTTCACATAGAGCCCTAAAGATACTGTTGCTTCCTCTACTCTCCGTATCAACCTGTCTGTAACGATTCGTAATTTAGGTTTGAATTTACTCTGGATGTATTTCAATAACTGCTGATCTATCTTGCCTGTGTTGTTTTTCCAGAAGTTCAGTAACCCCTGCTGGGCACTGTTGTGTTGCTGGGAACTAGTTGTGGAATTAAAGTACTTCCTTTCTAATGGAGCTAAATAAGACCATCATAGTAATGAATTAGCAGCTACTTCTGGGTGGCTATACTTTTACACGAGCACGCAGTATCAAAATAGGTTTTATTTATTTATCAGCATGTTATCTGCATGTTGATGGCTACATGCAGCGAGTTATTTGTGTCTGCATTTTCCCTTCCCACAACAAAACCTTTTTTGTGATAATCTGGTTCCTTGAGCCAGTTTGTTTTGAGGCTCTAAAAGTGGATCCTAGACTCTGGTTACAATTGAAATAAGGAGCATTTGGGGAACGTGCTGCTTTAGGCATTGCCCCAGATAACACTAACCATGTGTGTGTTTATTTTCCTCATTCTTGCCCTTTTCTCATTTTTAGGGCAAAAAGCTGCCATACAGTCTTGGAGAAGATGCTGAGGAAGGAGAAGTTTCAGATGAGGACAGCGCTGATGAAATAGAAGATGACTGCAAGCTAAAGCTCTGCTATGTATGGACATATACAGACTTCCCAGGACTGTAACAACTCAGCATTTCTTATATCCATATCCCATAATCCCACTGAGAGCTTTTAGCAGACTAAATTCTTCAGGCAGGTTCTTAGGATATGGAAATAATATCACTCAACATTTAGATACGGATGAAATTGTTCTGGGAACTTCCATCTTTACTTTGTCATTAAAGAACACATAAGATATAACAACAGAATTAAATACAGTGCTGGCACTAGGACATGTTGGTGCCGTCACTGTAAGCATGCTAGGCTCTTTCAGATACAAACATGTAGTGCTGAAGATAAGGACAGGTTGGTTAACTGTACAAATTCTAGGCAAAAGTTATGAAAGGAGACATAGGAATGATGAAAATCTCTTTTTTTATCTTTTTTATTTTTTTTAAATTCCTCTGTTACTTTTTTTTTTATCTGTCATCACAAGCTGTTTCTGTTCCTTTTTATTCTTACCTCTTGTTTATTTTTCTGCAGTTAGTTTTATTAACACTTCCTTTGCTGTCAGCTGAAACCAGTGCACAATGCCAATGCATGTTATCTAGCAGGTACTTTTCCCCAGTCAGGAGGCAGTCACGCCTGCCTTTTGTGTTCAGAATTCTGATCTAGGGCGGTAAGAATAGATAAAATTGAAATTAATGTAATGCTATTCATCTCCAGTTTTGATTGTAGTTCAGTGACTTTGCCTTTTAGTCAGACAGAAGCACATAAACAAAGTTCTCCTTTGCTGTTCATGGTTTGCATATTGAGCTTTTAATTTGCATGCATTATTTGTGCCTGCTACTGCCAATTTAATATGTTCAGAATAGCTTGGGATTTGCTTTTCAGGTAGCAGAAGTTGCTGTCTGAACTGATTCAGAGGCAGCAGATGTTCATGCCAGCTTTCCCCCTACCCTGACTGCTAAAAATGCTAGTGTCAGCACAATCTTTGCAAGATTCATGTATTTTACATCAAAGAATCAATTTCATTTTTTTCCCTTACATTAAAAAAAAAAGCACTTCATGTTAATGCTTCATGTTAGATGTATAGCTTCATGCTATAGCCTTGCATCAAGTGGATGAATCCTAGGATAAAATCAGGCTAATCAATGACTCAAAATACTACTTCTAATATTTCTTACTGCACTGAAAATATTTGATTTTAACTGACTTCAGGGGAAGCTTGAATACTCTGATCCCTTAAATCTTTAGAAATCCAAACGATTTTAAGTACATGTGCGTATATCTTCGGGGTTAAGTCTGGGAAGAGAGTTTGTGTCGAGCGACCATAACTTCAGTTCTGTTAAAATAGGATATTGCTCAACGAGTGCTGAAAGCGGCGTAATTCCAGCGCATAACGCAGCAGCCTGTGCCGTTAACGTGTCTTGGGCACTTGTGGTGAGCTGCTGCTTCCCAGGCAGGAGGAGCCCAGGCAAAATCTGATGCAAAATGCAGTAGGACTTTTGGGGCTAGAAAAGGAGAACGCTGGGATTGAGCTTTATCCTAAGGCAGGAGAGGTCTCACCTTCCTTGGAAGAAAGGAAGGTGCACACATTCTTATATATAGAGCCCATTTTTAAGTGCCTTAATGGGCCTGTTTTATGTTTGCCTAGTCTGTACTACTGTTAATAACCATGATTAACCTCTTTCTTTCTTGCTGGAGAAGAAATCTAGTAATATTTCCGTTGTTTGATACTTTTGAGGACCTGTGCAAGTGCACTAGCTGACAATTCATGTTATGCCCTGAAAGAGGTCAAGGACTTTCAAAATGGGGAGCTAATGCTAGGGACAGATTCTTGAGTGATCTAAATTGTGGGCGGTGCTTTGGCAAGGCACTATAAATTCCTTGTCAGGAGGACTAAAGGAAAAAAGGCAGTAAAAGCCACCAAAAGATGCAGAATCAGGCAGGATTATGCAAGAAGCTCTTTCTTGCACAGACAGAAGGATGTTGTGAGCACTATTTGGCCTCAAGCACGTATAATATTTCCTCAGGCTATCCAGAAAATGATACTGAATTTCTAATGAAATTTCTTAATGCCTTTCAGAGTAATGGTGCAATTGAGCACCAGGTGGAATCTTTTATAAGAACGAAACTTGAATCTCTGATAAAAGAATCCCAAATCAGGGACAAAGAAGACCCTGACAGTTTCACTGTGAGAGCACTTCTCAAGGCAACACATGAAGGTTTAAATGTTAACCTGAAACAGGTATGTGGGTTTCTTTCCTGTTGCTCTCTTGATATTAGCCAATGCAGTGTGCATTGTAGATTGATCAAAGGAGAAAGTTAATGATTTATGAAGAGCTTTCCAAGTTGTTTACGTTTTCTTTAAAATGTGAGCTGGAGATTGTTTAAGAAATGCCTCCTGAGAGGATTTGAGCAGTTAGAGGTGGAGAGTATGGAGGTGCAAAGTTAATTTCCTTGTAAACCTTAAAGGTTTTCAATTCAATAAATGGAGATATTGCAAGTGATTCTCAAGCAAATCGCTTGGTGTCTGTGCTGTTGGGGAAGGGTCCCTTTTGTACTGCCTTGCTGCCATCAAGGCTGCCCGTGGTGCCCGAAAGCAGGCAGCCGCCTTTCCTGTTGTCAGCAATGCTACAGAAATTACTCAAATGCAGGACTGTGCTTTTACTGCTCTAAGCGAGATTCTGAGTATTTTTTGTGCCCAGACTGTTTTATATTCACAATTGTGTGTGTTTCTTTTTCCCTTTTGGCATCACACTATTATTGCAAAACAGTGAAATGTAAAATGTTTTGGACTTTTGAGTGCATAAATAGCTTGTGCTCTGAATCCGTGGTTATCCTATTTCCATCTGCACCGAATGTGAGGACCAGTTATGATAAACAGAGGGTACCTTGCCCTGCAAGGAGGGGCTCACTCTGTAACAGGTAGAGTCTCCTTCGAGGCCAGCTCCATGTAGTTTTGTTTCCTGCACGCCCTCCCACTCTTTCGGTTACATGCAGATCTTTGCTGTCTCCTGCTCCGAGCCTGGACCTGTCACATTTGTCCAGGCTTTTCTACAGCAAATATATTCTGCTTGTCTGGGTGGTGCCCTTGAGACTCTGCTCAAAGCTGGGTCGTGGCGGTAGGAGGATGGCAGAAAGCAAGGACAGAGCCCTCCACCCTGCCCCATGGGGGTGCGTGTGGCTTTGCAGAGGGGTTAGCTGGGTGCAGCCCTGTGTGGGGAGCCCTGCGAGGGGCTGCAGCCGCCCCGACCCGGAGCGCAGGCTACTCTCCCGCGGGAAAGCCTCGGCTCAGGCAAGGAATAAAGCAGCCCCTGGTTGCCACAGGCACCCCCCTTCCCTGGCAGCTCAGACGCTTTCGGAACTTCTAGGAAATGGAAACTGATTAAAAATTAACTTTTGAAGAGATCACAAAAGCCTCACATGAAATTGTCTAGTATTAAGCTTAATATTTGTTGTGGTTGTTGTGGTCACTATCAGATATTCCCTCTCATCTGAGAGAGACAAGTACTTTATCTGCCCAGCTTTCCTTCTGCAGCTCCTCTACAAAGGCTTCCAGCTTGAGCTAGGAATAAATGTTTGAATAGGAGACACAGGAATTACGGACTTTCCTGGACCCAAGTAAAGCACCCAGCATCCTCCCTATGGTAACCAGATGTGAGCTCCGAGGCTGCCTTCTGCTGAATAACGAGTTCACTGACATGTGCTGCGAGATGCTGGGGGACTTTTCAGCACCATTGGGTCTTTATCCTGCTCTGGGGAGGATGAAGGGATGTGCTTTTCTGGCAGGAAAGGCTAGATGGGGCCAGGCACCATGCAGCTGATGTGCCAGGGCATGGCTGCGAGCGTGGGGCTCCAGCGTCAGGCTGCCTCGCTGAGCTCTGCGTGTGTCTGCTTGAGATTTTTCCCTCTCTCTGTTTTGTGGTTGCCTGTATGGGCACGGTCACACATTTGGGGGTAACTTTATTAATGTCTGGTAGGGTTTTCTACACGGCTGGTTATTGTGCTGAATTTTAATGTTTTTACGTTTTTTCTTCCTGTTGAAGGATTGCTATGCTATCAAGTGTGGAAAGCAATTAGAAAAGTCCTGTAATGGATTTTGGATTTAAATTTGTGCTCAAAGGGCAGTATGTTGTGTTTAGACTTCAATTCACTGTTACCTTTATTTTCCAGTATAATTAAGAATCACACGACATGGGTCCGGTTGTCATAGCAGAATGCATATTCAGTTCAAAATAGGTATTTTAAAGACGACAGCAGAAAAATAAACTTCCTAAGGTGGATACCTCACAGTTATGCTATTTAATGCACTCTTTCTCTGCACAGAACCTGGATGCAAAAGAAGGTGGAAAAAAGTCTCATGGCCGATCATTAATGGGCAACTTTGGTAAACACAAGGTAAGTAAAATTGGAGACTAAAACCTCTGTGTTGTGTCTCAGGACATCCTAAACACAGAGCATGTTTTGTTTTGTGAGTGTGGCGTGGTGATGCAGGTGGGCAGTGAGGAGAGACTGCAGGTATGTGTCGTTTGATTCCATTCACTGCATTTATTGCTGCTTACAAGAAGGGTGTATCAGTCACACTGGGAACAGCAAGGAGACCCTTTAAGGACAGTTGCAGAGACTCGCCACCCTTGTCTGGCCAGAAGGGTCATGTTCACTGATCATGTGCAGTTGCTGGCTTCCTGATTAAACCTGCAACACTCACACAGAGACGTGCCTTCACATAACGTTGTTTTCCAAAGCCTTCTGTCCATGCAGCTCCAGCGTCTCGGGCCCGGTTTTGCCCGGTTTGTGCTCTGAGCAGCAGCATGCACTCTTCACGTCTTTCTACTTGTTTTTGTGAGTTGCTGTAATTGAGGAATGGAGCTAGGTGCAACAACAAACGTAAAAGCGCTTTCTGTTCTGATCTCCTCATGGTTTTGCCTGTGCTATTTGTGCCCTTGCCTCGCTGCCAAGCAGCTTGTGCACTTCACTGCCTCTTCACTGTGGTGGCTCTACTGAACCAAGCAAGAGCTGGTATAATTATAATGGGTATAGGGTTTCGCATTGTAGCTGTGCCAGCTGAATAACAGCCATCCAAAGGGACAGCACGCCCGTGTTTCTCCTCATTCCCATATCCTGACAAATAGGTTCCTGTCATCTGCCTCCCTTATTCCCACCTACCATATGGGTTGGGTCTAGGGATTGTGCAGCCCCCACGTGAGCTGCCACAGCTGAAAACTTCCTTCCTTCCAGAGGGGATCAGCAGAGAGCAAGTAAATAAATCAGCCGAGAGGCTAATCATGGAGAAGGTCTAAGAGACAGGGCTGCAGCCCCCCTCAGAAGGGGAGGGGAATCGGAGCCATCTGTGATGGAAGATGCAGCCAAGCACACTACGTAACTGAACATCTGAATGGCAATTTAAGGCAAAATGGCAATTATGATTCTATATTATTATAATTCTATATTTACATTATAGAATTCAACCTGCCTGCCAGCTTATCTACTCTGAAGCCAGCTAGGAGCCACTAAAATTTCCCTAAGCAAACAGTGCCAAGAGCCATTGTTATGCTTATGTTATAAACTTACAGCAGTTTAAAGTGATTATATTTCCTGTAGGAGCTTTAGCCAAATGCAAATGTTCACGACCCCTGACTTGCAGGAAGCAAAAAGGTGAATGATAAGCTAGAAAGCGTGTCAATAATGTAATTGTTTCAACGGATTATTCTAATTGGATATAGGCAGTGAGAAAACCTAGTCCTTTCATCTTTCTGATGAAAAAAAGGCAGAACGTTTCATTTTTTCCTTTTTTTTTTCCTGTTTCCTCTTTCTTCCTTTTTCCCTTTTTCCCAATTCCTGCGGGTTCACTGAACAAAACATCTACAATCCAGACCTTCAGATTCCCAGCATTGAACAATACAAGTGATTTCCAGAATGGTCAACTCTATTTCAGCACTGAACACAGCAAATTAGACTATAAACTAAATTATAAAATAAATTATGTGCATCGCTGGCGTATCACAGCAGGAGATATGAAATTTGTGCTCAATTATTATCTAGCCATATGAGCAGAAAAAGGAATTCTCAATTATGCTACCTCTTGATGAGAAGGGAATTAAAGAAACTCTTTGAACTACAGTTACAGTGTTACAAAACAGTAATGTTGAAATATGAGCTGTATCAAAGAATAGCTGCTTATGGAAAAGGAGGTGTTCTTAAAATTTTAATCTTTTTAATGTAGCTAATAGCTTTACTGTATGCTGTAATAAATTAGAATAATTGGATTGCTCTTGTGCGTGGCTCAGAACACAACGGAAAAAAAAAATGAAAGATGCTGGAGAATTTTGTCCAGAGACGGTTTTGAGCTTGGGAAGGCAGCCCTGTGCTGTGGGCTGCTGCAGCACCCACCCCACCACTGACACCTTCCAGTAACGTGGTGCATTTAGGACACTGCCCCATAAACTGACAAAGCTCTGTTTGCTTCTTTCCTAACAGAAAGCTGTGAAGGCAAGATCCAAATCCCAAAGTACATCTGACGATGAAGAAAGTCAGCAAAATGCTTCTGGAAAGGAAACAGGACAGCTTCACAGGTGCAGAGTGGAATGTGATGCTTTAACAGCTCCATTAAAATGTTGCTCCTGTTGTTGTCCTGTTGTTGCATCCTGCTGGTTTGTCGATGCTTCAAGGAAGCCTGTTCGAAAAAGGGGTTGTTTATGCTGCCACCATTGAGGTGTATTCTGCTGTTATTGCAGTACCCCAGTATTTTGGTTCTGGAGGTCTTATGGATTGTAGATGAAAATTCCACCTCAGCTCAAAAGAAATGTACTAGTAATGTTCTTTTAATGGAATGATGCCAGGTTATATTTAATATGCTCTAAATAGTGCACAGAGAAACTGTTTAGGCTAAATAAGAGTGCGCCGCAGCCCGACCAGCTTTACTACATCTGAGAATGCTGCAGGGAATGAAAAAAGTAGCAGCAAGAATGCTAAAATGTTCCTTTTTCAAATGCAGCTCAAAGCTGTCTGCTTTGTTTTTGTCTCGGAGAGCTATGATGCTGCTATTTCATTATGTTTTTACCATTTCGTTATGCTTTTAATGAAAAATTTTCTGCCTGTGGATGTGTAGATTGAGCTACAAGGGGAACAGTCATCTCAGTTTGCTCAGAATTCTCTGTAGACAATTTTACTCAATGAGGTTCCCTGTTTATTAGTCTTGCTTTTCAGCCTGAGTTGTGTAGCTGTATATTTCCTTAATGGTGAAAAGAATAGAAAAGAGGATGAATTATGCTTCAAGTATTGAAACATTTTGTCTTTGTTTTATATCTTAAATGTTACACAGCAGACTGGCTCGTCGGAGAAAAACTGTGAAGCTGTGTCGAGCTCTGTCTGACCTGGTGGTGTACACCAACTCTGTGGCAGCCCAGGATATAGTGGATGATGGTAAGGCTGCTCGTGGAGAGTTACATCTGCATTTGTGTCTTTTCTATTTCGTTACCTATTCTGACAGGAAACGTGGTTATGCTTGGATGTTTTTATTGCCCTTTTTTTCAAAGTTGCTTCAAAAATAGCATGACTAGTTACCTGCCCGCTTTGGTTAGCTATGGAGAAAAAGAATACAGCACCACCTTTTATTTCCCAAGAAGTACCCTTTCTCTGAATTTCTCACGATATTGATGTTTTAGGAGCAGTTTTAAAAATTAGTCTTTTTCAGGAGGTATTTTTCCAGGTTTAACAGTCTGGAGGGATTTGTAATCATCTTTTAATGTAACTGTTATATAAAATTGATAGTCCAGTAGGTTTGAATTGAAATAGATGTGGTCCCAGACCAGAATATTTGAAGTAGTTCTGCTCAATGTATTAGAGCGGCAAAATGGAAACTGAAAGAGTTGGAAAGGTTGATGGAAAGGTTGCCAAAAATACATGAACAAGCTATAAGAAATTCTATAACTGCAGCGGAACTAAAACCTGCCAGGAACTAAAGGGAGAAATAAGAGAGGATGAAAGTACTGTGGAGAAACTGAGTCCAATAAATGCCAGGAGAAGACAATCCTGTAGAGTTTCAGAAATGGTTGTAGCAAATAGCATGAACTCTTGCTCAGTTTTCCTAGTAAGCCTAGAAACTCAAGGAGAGAACAGAGGATGATGCTGGAAGGGAAAGCTTCACTTATACATCATACAGGATTTGCATGTGACAAGATTATCCATCAGTGTAAATTTGAACGAATTCTTTTCAAATCAATTAATATTCTCCTTGATTGATCCCCATATAGCTGAGGTCTGAGTTCAGGTCTCCATCCCTTGGGATTGCTTTCTAACTTTGTTAATTCAAAAATATATACAGGAACAACAGGGAACGTGCTGTCATTCAGTGAAACAAGAGCCCACCAAGCAGTGCAGCAGAAAGCTGAACAGTTCATGCTTTACAACCAGAAACAGCTTACAAGGGTGTATCCATCTGCCTATCGGATTGACTCCAGCAATTTCAATCCTATACCATACTGGAATGTTGGCTGCCAGTTAGGTAGGTGCTACATGGGTATCATTTTCCCCTTTCCGTCTGTGAAGTTGTTGGTGTCTTTATCAAAAACCCCTCAATCTTCTTGCTCAACAGTGGCACTGAACTACCAGTCTGAAGGGCGCATGATGCAAATAAATGAAGCAAAATTTAGGGTCAACGGCAACTGTGGTTATGTCCTCAAGCCTCAGCAGATGTGCAAAGGTAATGTCCAACAAAGGTAATGTCCCACAGTACATTTGTTACTGCAAGTGTCAAGGTGAAAATGTCTCCATGATTAGTTGCCAAGACAAAGAAAATAACATATATAGAATCTTTTCTTCATTTCCATAAGTACTGTAGTAACCTAGTTTGGGTACAAGGATAGCCAGCTGGAAGCAAGAATGAGGACTGAGTTTCTAGGACTTGGTCCAACTCTAAAGCCAAGTCAGTGCAATTCTCTTGTCTTTGAAAGAAGTTGGTCAGTCCTCAAAACATTGGAGCAGGAGTCTGATTTTTCAGTGTTTCAGAATGAACATCCTTCCCATTTGTTTGAGAATTTGGGGTCTGATTGTGTCCCTACATCTGTAAGTTATCTTTAATGTGACCACAAAACACATTACAGCAGTGTTGCTGGAAAGTTACTCGAGAAATTCCAGAGGCAATTTTGAACACTTCAGGCAGGCATTGCTACTAAAGGAAGCAGCTTGTTCCACTCAGCTGCTTGTTCTTGTTATGACTCGTAAAGTCGTGCACGAAATACGAACAGAGTGCTCCTCTGAATTAGAACTGATGTCTTCTCAAGATGCTACTTCAGATGTAGAGAAAAAGCTTTCCAGAGGAGACAGTTTTGTAAAACTCACCTGTTGTATGGATCCTTAGTGTCTTGTAATCATATAAGAAAGGCTGCTCAGCTCAGAAATGGTTCTAAGAAACTAGGATGGGTTGGATAGGTTGGAAGGGACCATCAGAGATCCATCTAGTCCAACTGCCCTGCACACACAGGGTCACCTAGAGCTTGTGACATAGGGTAGCGTCCAAGCAAGTTTGGAAGATAAGTCCTCTGTAGTCTAAATTATTCCCTTATGTCTGAATTTTGGCTGCCTACATGAATCTTTCTTTTGTAGATCTGTTCTATGTACTTTTTTCTTCCCTTTTTTTTCTCATTCCTTGTTAATTTTTAGGTACCTTCAACCCCTACTCTGCTGATCCACTTCCTGCCAGTCCTAAAAAGCAGCTTATTCTGAAAATCATCAGTGGACAGCAATTACCTAAACCTCCCGACTCAATGTTAGGAGACAGAGGAGAGGTAAAATGGTGTGACACCAACCAGTGCTTCCGTGAGAAGTCCTGAGTGATGTATCAGTGTATGGCTAGATATTTCTCCTCATTTGAATACACCTGTAATCTTCAGATATTGTCAAGTATTTGGTGATAAAGCACTACATGTTCTGATGAAATCTGTATACTTCACATGAGGTTTTCTTGTTTCTTGTTGGGAAGGAAAGAGGAGAATTACTTTTTTGATAAGTAACCATTATACCAACCTACAGTCTATGAAGCCACTTCCTGTAACTGTGCTGCTTGAAAAATATGTGATAAGCAAAGGTTTTTTGAATGTAATGAGTTTTCTGCACAGGTATTTCATTAAAAATTGACCTTCATTTGTAATACTAGATTGTTTTTAAAGTACTTTTTTTCTTAATAGATAATAGACCCCTTTGTTGAGGTGGAAATTATTGGATTACCTGTTGACTGCTCTAAAGATCAGACAAGGGTGGTTGACGACAACGGTAAGTAGTCTAGCTCCTCTTCTTAGAGTAAAATATGAAGTCATTATAAATTAATCTGTGTATTTTATTACTTTCTGAACTGCAAAGCTTATTAGCTTATGAGACCAAATAATTGTCTTTCTGCTTTTTGGGTAGAATTTCTGAGGTAGGGAGACAGAAGTGAGAGGTGAAAAAAGAGAACTGCTCACCACAGTATCTTTCTCCTGGATTCTTCATAGCTGTCCTTAATGCAGAAGTTCCAAGTATTTCTTGATACGAAATACCTGTATGATATCAAGTGAAATGAAAAGAGACTATGTCCTAGGCGGTTTGACTGTCGTATCAGCCTTCATGGAAGTAAGATGAAAAAGAAGCGAGGTGAATAGCCTGGTCTGGCAGGAGAAGTGAGCATCAGTTCTCATAGGCAGCTGCAGTACCATCGCGGAAATGAGAACCTCTTCATTTTGGTTTCATTTTTACCATAAAGCTACAAAACAGCAGCCTGCCTTGCTGTCTTTGCCAGCTCCCCAGCCAGAAGCGTTTTGTTTATAAAGGCTGTCTAGCAAATAAACTCTCATTTTTAATTACATGTGTTATGGAGGTTATGCAAGATGCTAGGTCTAGATGAGCAGTAGACAATGAGTGCTCTTTTGTTTATTTGGTTTGTTTGTGTTTCTCTTGCCATGCATTGTGAAAACTGAGGCTAACGGTGCCACGGCTGCTTCTCACAATTTCTGTTGTTTGTTGCCCAGGGTTTAATCCTGTTTGGGAGGAAACACTCACCTTTACCATCCACATGCCTGAAATCGCTTTGGTTCGATTTCTTGTTTGGGACCATGACCCTATTGGGCGAGACTTCGTTGGACAAAGAACTTTGGCCTTCAGCAGTCTTGTGCCTGGTTGGTGCTGTCTGTTTACCTTGACTCACATGCAGCTCAAGTCAGATGCTTTTGAATTCAAAGTGCCAGGCTAGCCATCAGAACAGGATATTTGCCCCTCTGAGACTTGGTGTGTGAGCTCGGGTATTTCACCTGGGATCTTCGGGTGGAGAACTGCCTCTGATTTCAAGGAGTTCTGGGTAGCTGGGTTTCTGGAAATTTCACCTTTTATCTTATTTGTAACTTGCAGGTAATTTGAACTGGAGGGCTGGGAAAACCTGTAAAGATGGAAGATAGTAGCTTTTATTAAAAACAGCAGATATTGCTGTGTATATCATGCTTTTTTTATAGGCAGTCCTTGCCAGTTGTCCCTAAAGTGAATACTGCTCATTAATTGTAATGCTGTTTCTGTATTTTGCTAGGTTATCGTCATGTGTATTTAGATGGGCAGACAGAAGCATCCATATTTGTTCATATAACCATTAATGACATCTATGGGAAGGTAGGTACACCTAGGAAGCTACATCTTTTATCTTTTTTTGGCAGGCATGGATTAAAATGCACCACAGAACTTCCCAGGACTTTTGTAGTGTTTCTAAATGATTCTTGCAGTCTAGGTATGTGGTATTTTGAAGACTGGGTCAACAGGGTCTAACTTTCTCTGGTACTAAGTAGAACTAAAATTAAATTAAAGAACAACTTATTCAAAAACATGCAACATGGAAAGACCTAATGTCTTATTCCCTATTGCCCTGAACTTGATGCCTCTGAACTTGTTACTCTGTTACAGTGTTACCTATATAATAGGTAAACTATATAATAGGTAACACTGCTGGGCGTTGGGCAAATGGCTCTCCCTTGCTCATAGTGATTTTGCTGAGGAGTGCTGAGCCAGGACGTGTGTCCAGTAGCACATTTGTGTCTCTGAGACTCTGCTCACAGTGCAGACCCATCTGTGTGTGCTCAGTAAGCGGAGGCTGGAAAGCATGGGGGTGTTTTCTTTTTCTTGACAGGTGATCAGCTTCAAAGCCTAACACTCCCTTGTACTACTCTTAGCAGGCAGATTTCTCAATCTGCTTACTGTTGCCACCTAATACTCATTTCAGATCTAGTTAAAATGCAACCCTATAGGCTTAATTTTTAATTAATTTTACTTTAGAAGTACCTGTTCAGAGCTGTAACAGCACTGGGATCTGGTGCTTGACAAGTTATTTTTAACTGGTGATTTCTTTGATATCTTCAGGTTGTAGTATGTTTAGCGTTGCTGCTCTTCTGCAAGACTATAACTTTAAAACTTTTATAGAAAGTTTTAAAACAAAAGCACAGTGTCCTTTTCCCCTGTATTTCCATTTTAACTACTTTCAGAAGTTTACAAGAAGTCAATAGAGATAACCAGCACAGAGATGTTAATCTAGTTCAACAGCCTGCTAAAATAAAACGGACCTTTGTAGGGATTTTTTTAAAGTGTTTATAATTTTTATTATAAATTATATATTTTTTAATTATAAAAAATATAATTCTCCTTTCTCCATTCTGAGAGTGGATACAGGGAAAGTCTTGTCAAAACCAGCCCTGGCCACCAGCTTTTTGTCTGCTCTGGAGCACTCTAGTGTTTCTGTACATAGAATTGCAGCACCACAAGCGCCCAAGAGAAGTTTAGCAGGGCAGACGAGCAAACGATCGCAGAGGAGGCCTAGGGCTGAGTCAATGCAGTCCAAATCCTCGCTCAGCTCTGCTGCCCCTTTCCTCACCGATCGCATCAGGCAATTGAGTGATGCCGTCGTGGCAGTGCAAACCAGGAGACGTGGGTCTCCTGTTGGTGTCGGTGCAGGGACCCGTGTCTCAGTGTCCTCGTGTGCCCTTGCCCCTGGCCAGGGAGGAAGGACAGTGGCTGTGAGCTGGAGGGAGCAGCATTGACCAGGCCTGACCCACGTGGGGTTTGTGCAGTGAGAGAAGCATTCAGTATTCAGCATAGTTTTCATCATTACTACATCCATGTTAAAAGTAGTAAACAGCATGGAATATATTTGCAATATAAATATTTGCAGTATATGCCGGGGAACATGTAAATCACATACCATTTTGGTGATAATATCTAGGGAGGCCTGTTTGGCTGTTGCTTTTTCCTCACGTGCTCTTCAAAGAGGAAATATAGTCAGGGAAGCTGAGCAGCTTCGTATTAAAGATCATGATAGCAGAAAATGAAAAACAAACAAAAACAGTGAGAGCTGATGTCTTCTGTATAATTTAGTCCATTGATCTAATGGTGAGCTATATGACTGTGTTTCCAAGCTATAATAAAGACTGAATGGACTTTTGCATCCTTGTAGCTGAAGATTTTGGGTCAAGTTTCTTTGAGGGAGGCTAACACAAGGCCAGTAAACAGTTCTAAGTGGTTTGCTCTACAGGGTTATGTTTACAACTGATGTTCTGTTACCTTATTGCTTGTATCAAGAGTCTTGAAAACATTAGCCAAACATTTTTGCATTTTTTCCCTTTCAGTGGAGCCCTTTAATCCTCAACCCCAGTTACACAATATTGCACTTTCTAGGAGCCACCAAGGTAGACTTCGTTAGCATGCGCTTTGCACTTGCTAGGCTCAGAGTTTCAAATGGTTCCTAATCGCATGGCCTCTAACTACCAAGCTCCATCATTTTTCATGCGGACTGAAACATTTGGATATTGCTTTGATGAAGCCCATGCATAAAATTCCAAGTTAATGTGTGCCTGTCACTGCAGTCCACTTCCTGCAGTCTTGTCATCTCTGATTAGGAGACTTCCAGAAGAGCTCCCGTGTAATGGTGGCAGGCTGCCATCCTAATGAGGAGAAAAGACATGCATGAATTCATGGAGCCCTGTGCTGATAGTTCCTTGGTCAGAGTAGATGTGAGTTGCTTGGTGTGACTTTTTGCTTTGCTGCATTTTGATTTTGTCTTCATCATTCATAAATGGAAGCAGCCCTTCTCATTGCATTCTTTTATATAATACGCCGAGCTCGCTTGAAACTAATTCTTCTTGTCCTTTCAGAATAAGCAGCTGATAGGACTGCGAGGGTTGTTTAACAAGACCCCTAAGCACAGCTCCGCTGAAAGCAACGGGCACTATGTGCGGAAGAGATCCATCGGCGATCGAATTCTCCGGCGCACGGCCAGCGCTCCGGCCAAAGGCAGAAAGAAAAGTAAAATGGGGGTCGTGGAAGGCATCGAAATCAAAGACAGCGCGTCCGAGCCAGCCGACCTGAAGGACAAAGAAGGAGTTGTAAGGCGCGCGGCGCGGAGCTTGCAGGCCCGGCCTGCCTCCATGCCCGTGGACAAGTATCTTCTCGTGGGACTGCCGTGCGCGGGAGGGGAAGCTGTGCAAGAAGCCGGAGGAAAAGAAAATGCATCTGGTAAAGTTACTTTTTGGATAACAAATTGAAATACTATATTATAAAGCCTGGTTGTGCTGTCCTTACGTGCAAATAGTTGCTAGGTAAAATGTCGTGCTTTGGAGTGTAGTGTTTTATCAGCATGCATGCATTTCTAGGTCACCTCAAACTGCTTGCCTAAAAAGTTAGGGAATAATAATAATGATAATTTCAGGAAGTGCTCTTAACAGGACATTTGTCAAGCTGCTTTTGCTGTTTTAAGCTGCCTTCCCTGCTCTCTGGTTTGCTGCTGTCCGTGGAGCAGGGAGGTGCCGCTGCCAGCAGCGCGGCCTTGGCCCCGTCCAAGGGGGCAGCAAAGCCGGAGCGTGTGCCTCCAAGCAGAGCTAAATGAGTCTTGTATTGTTTATACGCAAAACAATTTACTACTTAAAATAACATTTTCTTCTAAAGTTTGAAAATCCAATACTTTGCAGCCATTCCCCTGACTGTAGCAAAGCTGCATTGTGTTGCCATGACCTGCCTAATACCTGATTTCCTGAGTATTTCAAAGGTCTAGGCAGCTTTGGATGTGATGGCTGTGCCTCATTAGACCCCGTTAGAGTCCGGCTGCTGGTGGCTGGGGTTGGTTTTGCGTGGCTGCCTGCTTTGACCTTACTCTTCCTGCTTGTTTGGGGTTGGACTAGATGGCCTCTAAAGGTCCCTTCCAACCTTAAGTGTTCTGTGATCCTGTGGTTTGTTGTTGGGCGGAGGAGGAGGCCTACGGGAGGCCGCGGCCGGCCACCTGCTTTGTCCCCCATGGAGTCCGACAGCACCGGCTTTCCTAGGTCTGTCCCGGACTGTTCCCTGGCTCTGCAGGGTGGCCAGAAGAGCTGCCCCCTGCCTTGGGACCCTGGGGAGCCTGCGAGAGCTCGGCGGGCAGAGCCTGCTCTCCTGCAGGTGGTCTCTGCTGATGGAGAGCGGCCACCTGAGAGCAGAACAGCCCCGGGGCTGTCCTGGCATGAGAAGCTCTCGGTGAGCTGCGGTGCCGGCTTCCCCCCTGCCTTTGGGGGAGCCCCTGATCTGCACAGCACTGTTTGGAAGCTGCTCAGGAGAAACAAAGCAAGCAAAATCAAACATGAAGTGTTTCCATCACCCTGGAATGAAAGTGTAGACAGGAACAAGGATATTCCTAGTCACGGGAGTTAACTGTGCAAATGAAACTGGGGCGGCTCAGTCGTTTTTAGCAACAGATGTGATTGTTTCTGACAGATTTCTTCCTAAAGATACTATAGAAAAATGAGGGAAATTCATTATAGGAAACTCCCTCCCCTTTTTCAGAGGTCACGAGTATTCACTCATAGTGGAAAACCTTCACAAAAACCACCTTAGGCACAAAGAAGTCAGCAGTGAAGAAGTTGTTCCTGAGAGGCCTCTGCCGTCCCCAGTTCTCAGTGCTTCCAGGGTATGGCTTAATGCAGGATACAGAACCTGGACCCTTTTCTATGGAAGAGCTTCCCTTGCATGGGCATGAGATGTGGCACAGCCTTGTGCCGTGTAGGAATGGGCAGGGATATTTTCAGGAAGTAATTCAAGCCCAAATATTTGAGACTAGGAGGAGACTTCTGGTCTAGGGAGGAATTAGTGAGAAGACATATTCTGCGTGGCAGGGTGCAGGGAACAGGGAAGAGGGCTGGTGTCCACCCAAGACCTTTATTGCTAACGCTATGGCTAAATTTATATAGTGTGTTAATTAGAATTGCACCATGTGGGAAATGAGCCTTCTGTTTCCTTCTGTTCTCTATAGAAAGGAATCTACAAAGAAAAATTTTTACTGTTCCATTCTCATGTAAGGGCTGTGTAAAATCTCTTGCAGTTGCACTGGAAAGCTTGAACTTTTCCATAATTTGGAGATTAGCCCTGCATGCCATGTTCATTAAACTTAACACTTACTGTACTGGGCAGGTTCTCTTGCACTGCTTGTGAGTGAGCAGGGCTTCTCTTTTACCTTTCTAGGGCACCTGAATCCCAGTGAAAGCTGGAAACAGGCTGTCCTGTCATATTTACCTCTTTGGTCCTTCCTTAATTGAAAAGGTACCAAAGTGATGAGTGAGTCATGGAGCTAGGGTTTGGCTTATGAAGAGAAGTAATATGAGACATATAAATTACGATTAATATTAATAGACATATGAGACATATTAATACGATTTGAAGGAGAAAGTGTCTCTAATGTGTATTTTTCATGGAATTCAAAATTTTATTGTCATATGAATATGCTATGCTGGTAGAAGTTGAAGCTGCAACAGTTCGGAATAGCTGTATGCAATGAACAGTGTGTTGGGGGTTCGTCTACTTGATGCTTTTTGTCGGAGCTCTTTTAAGCATGCATCTTGTGTCAAAGTATTCTGCTTTTTAACAGAGCTGTTTTGTTCTGTCTTTATTGCCATGCTTCTTTATAGTACAAATCTGAATAGGAACACACCTGAAGGTAATGCCACATGCACACTGTGATATGGTACCTCATTAACATTATTTGCAATAAATATTACATCATTTGCTTGATGTAATAGGCATTCAAAGGAAGCTTCAGTGAAGTGCCTGCAGCTGTATTTTCCCATTTATTCATACCACTCAAATAATTTGTATTGAACCTGCACAACCCCATAATTAAGTTCTGTCACAACTGTACCTAATTTTGCATTTTCCATTTGTCTGTCTAAGGACAAAATGCTTGTTAATAAACACAGCACAAAATATTGATTGCAACTAATATGTTTCTTATCTAATTTAGTCAACAGTGATGCTACAACCGAGAAGGAAGCAAGCTTAAAAGACTCTGGTTTTACCTATTCTGAGAAAAATACAGCTACTTCAGATTTGTCATCTGTCTTGAAAAGGGAGAATCTCCAGATGGGAACTAAAGCTGGCTCTTCTCCAGTACCACTGCTGCAGGAAAAACGTGTGGTTTTTGCCGGTGGGATAACTGAAACCAGTCACCTCACAGGGCACGAGGAAACTCACCTTTCTGGTGGAATTGCCCCTCTAATACAGGACTGTGGTGTTGAACTTTTCACAGGAAAAACACTGGGCAAAAATTGTGCAGGACATAATTTTGTGTCATCTTCCCTTTTATCTAAAGAGGAGAAAGTAACACTGGTGGAGACGTCCTTCTCTCGAAAAGTAGAGGATATGGAAAATCACAAATTTGACGTTGTCCAGAAAAGCACCGTAGCAACCTTTTCATTGACAGGTATTTCTTCTGCTCTCTCCTCTGATGTTCCTGCTTTACACTCCACTTCAGCCCTGCAGGACAGTGACATTTCTCGTCTTATAGATGAAGTTTCTTTAGTTAACGCGAGTGAGATGGATAGCTGTGTCTCAGCACTGATTGGGCAGGTTGACGTCACAGGTGACCAAACTGATCTCACTGTGGTCTCAAGTCTCCATGGAAGCAGCAGCCAGACCTTGAGTGTGGTGTCCGCACATCCGGATGTGAACACTCCGTGTAAGAGCCACTTGACTTCCATGAGATCCCCTCTTTTCTCAACTCCGGATACCACTGTGTTCTCCAGCCCTGAGACTACTGAGTGTCCCATGCACACGATTATCCATGAGGCATCTCTTACACCAGCTTCTGAATGTAATACCCACAGTGAATTAGTTTGCACAAACCACCTAGACAGCGTAGAAGATAACTTGCCATGTTCTGCTTGTACTAAGCCTCTGCTAAATGCAAATCCCAAAACAAAGTGTGGCACAAGTTGGGAAGCCCTGGAATCTGCCAATTCTTTTGCTTCAGACAGCCTCGTCTTTGAGGATACGCTCGTTGACCCTCCCACTTGTGAAAATTCAGAAAGCAGCAGTCTGGTAGAAGTAGACGGGGATTCTCAAGATCTGCTGGTCACTGCGTGCGAGTACAAAAGAGAAGACATGAGCCAGGTGGCTTCTCCTTTGAAACTAAGGCAAAAGCAGGACCCGGGGCATGGTGGTGAGAGGTGCTCTGGCTATAACACAACCGTCGAGGAGCTCTGTGCTGCTGCCTTGGCTTGCTCAGATAACTTCAGGACTGCAGGGTGTCAGTTCTCCTTCCCAACGTATGGAAACACTGGCTTTTTACATGGTTATCGTCAGACTTCAGGCACACACAGAGATGGATCGTGTACATCCCAGCTTAATGTACACTCACCTGGACTAAAGAATGCTGTGCCCTTCCCACCTGCAGCCATCAAACAGACCAGTCCTTGCAAATCCAAGAGTCTGGGTGACTTGACTTCAGAGGATATTTCCTGCAATTTCGAAAGTAAGTATCAGTACATAAGTCGAAGCTTTATCACGTCTGGCATGAGAGACAAGAAACTTGCTGCTATGAAGAATATGAGACCCCATTCTACAGATGCTCTGACAGAGCAGCTGAGGAAATTGGTATCCCTGGACCAGGAGGAGAGCTGTCAAACACTGTACTCCAGGCAGATTGACGACGAGTGCCCCAAGACGCTGGTCAGAAAGCTGTCGTCCAGGAGCCAGAGCCGAGTGCGGAATATAGCCAGTCGTGCCAAGGAAAGGCAGGAAGCCAGCAAGCAGAAATGCACTAATGCAGGTAGCATTGCAGGGGTCGTTCTCCGGAGCAAGCCCTCGGCACCATCCCACACACTCAACAGGCATTCCACAGGCTCCTACATAGCCAGGTACCTGAATGGCTTTGCCGGGGCCGACGCGGAAGGCCGCGGGATGCCGGAGGGCGCGTGCGCCGCGCTGCACCCTGCCTGTGCTGAGCAGCTGCACGCGCAGCACGCCCTCCTCCAGCTCGAAGCCACCACTGATGATAAGCCAGAAATATATTTCCTGCTGAGACTGTAGATTGTATAAATGTACATCTTCAATGTTTACACGCTACTTCACTGAAATGAAGGATTTTTAGCAAGAAATACTGTCTTGAGAATTTAAATTATTTAGAAATACAATTTTATGCTAGTGATTCGATCATGATTTAGTGTGCTCTTCCCTGTCAAAGCTGATGTAAATAGAAATGATGCTCCGTTCTTATGTCTGTATTACTTAGAAATTGTAAAGTGAGCTGATCTGGAGCTGGTTTGCATGCGGAAAACCTTTGTAGCATTTTGTAGTTGTAATGCATGTCATTTCAACGGGCAAGCACTTCGTGCTCCAGGGCACAACGGTGCAGTGAATGCAGTTGTATTCGCCTGTTTTCTCAATGCCCTGCTGTTTGGAGAACCATTTTCAGTGGTCGCTTTTGTCCTCGGTCTTGCAGACTGTAGTGAGCAAGGGGGGACGTTCTGCTGAGCGCGGAGCCTCCTGGTCTTGGCAGTTCCTTGGAGCTGGGCTGCGGGTTGGACTCGCTCTGCCCACAGGCTCCTCCTCAGGCTCAGAGCCCTCGTTCGTGGAGCTCTTGCCAGTCTGACTTGTGCTAAGTGTCAGGTTTACTTGGTTCCACCTGTGAGCTCTGGTTCTACAGCAAGGGATTTGTAGAGTTAGACTAAATTTCTAAGTCATGTGTAGGTTTGTCTTCCATCCACTTTACAGAGTATGATGATAGTTGTCTGTCTTGGTCAACGTGATGAATGCTCTTTTGGGGGCAGAGTGGAATGAAAAGAAATGTAGGAGTAATTCTGCATTTATGAATGGAAAACACTAAATTGCTGCACATTTTGTTATGTATTTTTGCTATTGGTTGTGCTTGTAGCTTCAATATGGTAGCAGAGTTGTTTTCTGTATATTTGTAATTTTACTGCTAAATTGTTGACAGTGGGATATTTAAAACTGGCGTGGTAGTGTAACTACTTTGGCTGTCCACCCTCATATCTTTTGCTATGAATATTAAAAGTGAAATGATTAAGTAATCTCAAAAATACCCAAGGCTTCCCTTTAGGGAGCAACATAGCTTTATTTTGATTTTAAGATATGCTTTGCCTTCACTGTGAGTAATTTTTTCTTATATGTAAAAGACATGTACCTTTTACCTCTTTCTTTTGTAATGCAGAGTATTATTATTCTTGGAGATACCATTAAAATAGATTTTTAAGCACCTGGCTACATATTTACTGAGCTATTACAGTTCAATTACAGTTGAATTAGGAGTACTCGGTGATTGCAGACATCTCCCTTGTCATGAGCTTGTAATAAACTTTTAGAAAGGGAAGAATTGGGGAGCATTAACGGAGCATTCAGATGCCTGTGTTACCAGCTCTCTGAGTAGGTCTTTTCTCTTTGAAGATGTGGTAGGGTACTTTAAAGGCAGGAAGCAAGCATTCTGTTTCACAGTTTTGAATTAAAGAGGGATCTAAGCCACAGAGATAATACCTGCTGTTTTTATATTCATAAGTATAAAATTAAATTCATATATATATTCATAAGTAAAAAATTTAAAAAATAATAAACATAAAATACTGTAGAAACCCAATATACCATTTTGCAGTTTTAATACATCTGTATTGAATTTAGCTTTTGTATTAAAGCAAGTTCGCCAGCATCTTCACAGAACACCCATTTGACCATCTCTTTTTCAATTCACTAGAGACAGAGAGGATTTGAGCCGGGAAGGGAGCAGCCGAGGCCCCGAGGAGCTGAGCCCGTGTTTCCCTTGCGGAGCAGGGACGTGAAGAGCCTCCCAGGAGGGCCCCGTGTGCAGGTGCCCGGCTGGGTGCCGCGGGGCCAGGCCAAGCACAGCACTGTAAGCCAGTTCCTCTTTTAATACTAGGTTAGACTTATGTCTAAATCCAGAAGCTATTTCCATGCTTAATGTTACATTTGTGATTAAGGTCTCCTAATCCTTAAGAATTAGGAACCTTTCTCTTAGTAGTTAACCAAGATGCTTAAGATCTCAGATAACATTTCTGTTTCTTCCTAAATGACAGGCTATTTGTATAAGCAACAGTTTATCTATTGATAAAATTTAATTTTAAGCTTCCATCAGTAGGAATCCAGGGAAAGAATAGAAGTGGAACAGAAAGACATTTTGTTTTTGATGAATTACAAGTTAGTGCATTTTCTGTATGCTGAATAGAAGATAAAGATGAATGGGAGCTGGACAGACATCACCATCCAGTGAAGTCCTTTGAGAGAACCTCACTATTTTACAAGAGCTCTACTGCCTTCCATACCAGGTAATAATCCTCCTTCTAATGAATTTTGTATCTATTTAGGAATTGCTATTGTGTGTTTAATTTAGTTATTATTTGTTATGTTTCAGTGTTCAATCTATCTGTGTGACTTGCTGAACCTCATTTTCTCCCATCTAACGGAAGGGATATAAACAAGAGCACATTCCTTTGGTGGTGGCAACTGCTCTTGGTGTGCAGTAGCTCTCTGTTGCAGGCAGTGTCTCATTTATAAGCACTAGGCTAAATGCATCCCCAGTGAAATGGCGCCTCCACAGAGGAACGATGCTAGAGGGAAACTTGTCTCACTACATACAAATTTTTCTCCGTGTTAAGGCAATTTATTTGTGTTAAATTCTACTCACTGTCTTCTGTGGAATTTTGATTTCTTGTGGGTAACTTGGAAAACATGAACAGGTGGCTATTGGTGTTGTGATGTGTTTGCTCTTCCTGACTTTTTTTTCTTTGTTGCACGTAGGCCAAAACATGAAAAAGTGAAAAATAAAAAATACACTCTTTTTAATTGCTGCAGAATCTATTGCAATCTTAAACTTGTTTAGTGCCATTATTCCCAGGGCTTAAACAAGCATCCTACTCAGTGTTCATCTGGCGTTAGCTTCCAGCACAGGATCATGTTTTAGCTGTTTGTTCACTCTCTTATCACATTTCTCTCACATAAACATGAGGTCGTAGCCTTCTCTTTGACATCTCACTTGGATCAAGCCCCTGGCATCTCTTTTGAATTTTTTTTTTTCTTTCCTGGAGGTTTTCTGGGAAGGTCGTCAAGTTTTCAGCATCTTTCAAGAACTGTACACTCCAGAACCAGTTGGTTTGTCAGGAACAGTTATTTCATTGGAATGCATAGAGATAATGTGATTCGCACCAGATTGCATTTATAAATATAATGTGGGAAGTCATTTTATCTGTTGCCTGACTGGAAATGTCAGTTCATTTGGGTATCCATCATATCTCTCAACTATTTTTTTTAAATTATTTCTTTATATGGAGAATTCCCACTTTAATAAATAGTTCGGATTATTTTGCCTAGTTTTCATATTGGTCTCTCAGGTCCAAGTTATCACTGTATTTACTCTTTTCAATCTTGGCTCTTGGCATGTGTTCTGATTCTTTCATTCCAGTACCACTTTCTGAATTATTGGGAAGTTAAAAATTAACTACTTGGGCATCTGCCTCAGCCTCCTCTTATTAAGCTCTGAAAGGAAGGAACTGGTTGATGGGAATGTTTCTGCGTTTGCTAATGCTCCTTTAACCTGTTCTCAAGTAGTGTGAATGAAACTTCATCTTTTGGCAGTGTGACTGTGTCTTTTTTGTTTGTTTGTTTGCTAATTCAGAATAGAATAATTAACTGCTGGGGAACTCTTGTAGGTAATGGCAAGCTTTTATATATGTCCCTCCGTGAGTCCCAGTCAGTCAGTCGAATGGCAAGGGCAAAGATTTCTCTAGCACAGCGCAGAGGGAGCTGTAGGTACCTTGCACGCGTGGCTGCGTGTTGGCAGAAACTTGTTGAGATTAGACGTTGCTCCTGAGCCCAGGCCCAGCAGGGAGGGCTGCTGGCCGGCGCGTGGGCTTCCTGCAGGCACCTCAGCGCCCTCGAAAGCACCCCCTGAGGGTCCCTTTCTGCCCCTCAGCAGCAGCCGGGCATTCCACCAAACTGCTCTGTAAGCTTTATGCTGATGGTATTATATATCCTCCTAGTAAGAAACAGACTTTGTAGCCTAAAATGTTCATGTCAGAAGATTTTCTTCATTTCATTCATTCTTCATTCATTTCCCATCTTAAATAAGATGAAATTGTGAAAGAGCAAAACCTTTCTTTCAAAGAAAGAGTCAATAGCATTTAGAGCTCTCAGAATACCCCCTGAAGCATGCTGTGTTTGTTTTATTCTTGCACCAGCCCTCATTTATATTTGTTTAGGTAAGATTTTACTGCAGTTATCTGTTACATTTGGTATTTGCTATGAGGACGGCACTGCTCAGGACCCTCATTCCGCATGTCTGAGACAGTGCTGAAAAGCAATTACTCTGATTACAGATCTGCTCAGACATACACGAACTGGAAGCAGAAATAAATTGAATTTCTATCAGAATCTTTTTAAGTTCTATATTAATCCTGAAAGAAATAAGAAATGAAAATGGGCATGTCTGCATCCAGCTAGTTGAGCTTGGATTTATTTTTTCATTGTAGGGAAACATGAGTTTTTGCTGTGGCTCCCTTTGCAGGGCAGGACTCAGCAGGATTCAGGAATACAGTTATTTGCTAAACCTTTTCCTCTGTTTCCTCCATTTCCTCCGTTTCCTCGTTTTCCTCCTTTTTTTCTTTTTATCTGATAGAGCTTCTGCAGGTGCATGGTAGCCTGGGAGTCAGTGCCCTGACCAACAGTCAGTCCATTTAAAACTAAAACTGGAGATAAAGGTTGATTTAAAACATGCTTCCAGACTTCATATACTTTGCTGGAATATCTGATCTTCCGATAGAGGTAGTAGTGAGTAAGAAAGATGGTAATTAAGACCCTGTTTTATTTTTTTGGTTTGAAGAGATGGTGTTAAATATGTAAAATGTGCTCATAGTCCCCTTAAGGGTTAGGGCTGTGTGCTCTGTTTTGAATTCATTTAAATAAATAGTAGCTGTGTTGACCTGTGGAGTTGCCCCCTTCCTGCCGCAGCCTGAGTTGTGCGTAGCATTTGCATAAAGGGAGGCTTTGCATTAATCAGCTCTGTTTACTAAACCTGGAAAACAACCTCCTTGTTGCGCTTTTCATCCGAGAGCCTTGAACTGGTTTCAAAAACACTTTTTGCAGCAAACTATCTCAACAGGTTGCTGCCTAACTGTGGGTGTTGCTTTACAGTGTGGAGCTCCAAAACTTGTAGCTATTTGCACTACTTTTAAAATACATTTACTCCAGACAGTGAAAAATAAGAGAAATATTTCTTGATGAGAAGTGTGTGATTACGTTGCCGTGTCTTTGGAGAAATGGCACCTGGCTTGCTACCACCACGTGTCAAAATTGAAAATAGCATTTTATTAGTTAAGATTCTTTGAAGCTGCAATGTGTTCACTGGAGTGTAACAGCTGCTGAAGGGAAGAACCTGGGCTGGTTTACCCAGATGTTCAGGTGCTGCAAAGGCAGCCAAGCTGCAGCAACATCGAACAGTAAGAATCTAAAAGCTGGGGTGGGTCCCCCCAAGGGGCTGCACACCCTGCTTTGTACCCTCCACCACTTCTCGTCAGCTAATGACCTCTTAGCAGTGCTGCCTGCAGAAAGAGATGCCTTTCTGATGGAGTATTGAAATTGCAAAGTGGCATTTCGGCTCGAGAGGGGAGGGATTCATTTCCAAGGAGTATTTCTGT